AGTCATAGAGCCGTCGCTATTGATTGCGGTGACTAGAGAGAAAATAGGAGAACGTGGAAATCGAAAGATAAACAGGCACTATGCTGATGCTGAACCAGATAATAACGATGGTGACGATGATGGTGATGATGGTGAAGTGGAGCGGTAAACGAAACGGTTCTCCCCTGGTGGGAAAGAGGTGTCTAAGACAGTTAGGTCACTTCCCAACTGGGAAGTCACTAAAAGTTATAGAATACTTAGTCATTGTGTGCATCTCAAGTTTGGACCAATCAAGGAAACAGATGACACTTTCCGTTCACTTGTTAGCGGATTGCTTGCAAGATGTAGATACATACAAACTGTATACTTGGTATCATCAAAACGTAGTTACATTCAAGTACCAGGTGGCAGAGGACAAGACGTAACCACTCTAACTCACACCGGCACGGGAAATCCTCCACTCAACGGTCACCGTCATCTTTTTTGGTACCCTTAGAATCCTCGAAGGTGGAATAAAGTTGGTTCTAGGTACATACGGAGTTACACGGTATAGAGGACAGCAAGAAGTGATGACTGGGTTGTTCGACTATTTGGTACAAATCTGTAGATTATCAAAGCGAATTTCTGATCATCCAACGCTCCTCGATCTGCCTAGGTATACGATTCTACTCCGTACGCTCTGCTCAATCACCCATAGGAGTAGACATAGCCCAGAGTAAGTTGTAGTGAATACTGCCCTATCTGTTCCATATTGCATTAACGTGACAGACACCTACTGTCGTCCGCTGTATCTGTAAAATACCACTAGGATCCGAGGACATCGTGCAACGCAACGAAATAGAATGGAGAGAAAGATACTCACGTGCGCGGCGTTTCGTCGGTCTTTACTCATCCACCATTGTTGAAGATCTCTCCATACATAGTAGTGTCTCGTACATACTCGTGGAGCATCATGCTAATGATTACAACACGAGCGTTACTCTTCAACTAAGCAGGCGAGCGCCATTATCAGTAACTGCCTCTGTCTATAGTCTGTATTTTTGTCGGCGAACGAACTGTGCAGGGTCCAACGGTCGACGTCGTGGCAGTGACCAGATGAGTTAAAGACCAGTGGTCATAAACGCCCGAATGTTGGAAAAGGAGGCGGCACGGGCTGTGATGGATGATGGGTGGTGAATCGTGATGCGATGCGATGCTGTGATCAGTGTGATCAACTGGATTATTGGCAGCTGTTTGAGTAGACTAGAAAATGGCACTGTCAATTGATTACTCCGTAGAGTCCGTACTGTAACCACAGTGTGCAGTGTACCTACATAGTAAGGAAAGGTACGAGGTAGGTTAAGATGCTCCGTAGTGAATGGTTAGTTTGGGAGGGTGCCGTAAAAGGTAAGGCGTGCATCGGTAGTGAGCGAGTCTGATTGGTCCATGAGTCCAGTCCGCGTCCAAGACTTTTCTGGTCGCCGACCTCGTGTCTTTAACCTCACACAAACGTCCTCCCTTGGGATGGAGTCCCTACTCTCAACCCCTGTGCCACGGTCTGGACGATCACCATCTGGGTGACAAAACTCGTCAATGCTCTTCCTATCCCATCGCTCACTCAATTTATTGCCGCCTCCACTTGGCTTCTCGCCTTTGCCTGCCACTAGTCACTGATCTTACTTGTACTTGTACTGCTTAGACGGCTGGACCCCATGTCCAACACCAAGCCGCAGCGCCCGTTTGATCGCCCACCCGCCGGCCTTAACGAAGCCGCGCAACGTGCGCTGATGTTCAGATGCTGCAACCTGCGGTCATCGATTCGTGCTTCGCCTCGAGCCTATTGCTGGTCTTTCCAACTGCGTTTGACGGGGAGAGGGTGCGAATGCATGTCCATGACCCAACTACAACAACTCAGTATTCCGTACAACCATTACACAGCACGCACCGTCCCATCTCATCATAATCCCGCCATCCACTCAGTCGGACTGCGGACCGGCCACCTGCTCAATGTCGTACCGAATGCACTTGCTCTCCCCGAGCGAGCCCGAATTGTCGTTCTTCTGTGCACGTCGACGGAGATGCTAATATCAAGTCGTGCAACACCGCATGCTAACATAATCGCCGCCCGGCCTAGCTGCTAACCACAACCCGTCTGCCATGACTGCCGGAGCTCGCCTTACTATTCTTAGGGAAGATCTCCTCGTGGCAGCCAAAGAAGCGAATACGAAATTTGGTGAATGTTTTCTCACTCCGCGCACACGCTGGCTTCGCCATCTACAGTAGGTAATGTCAGGCTTGGCAGCGGGTTGGAAATGTCTATTCTGCGACAAACCGCTTCGACCCCAGCAGACGAGGCTCTGGCTTTGCGCAGAGGAGCCCATTGCCGACAAGCTTGCAGCACGCCAAACATTTCCAGGTCCCCGCCCAACCATGTCTAATCCGCCTCTACCTACTGTACTCTCTGTTGGCGATAGCATTTGTGCACCTTGTCCAATCTGAACCATGCGCACTCTATTGCGCACCCTGCCCTCCAAGCCCCGCCATGCAGCAACGCCCTGTTCGGTCTTAAACCCCATGTAAAGCATATCACAACCTTGCCTGCTCTGCTGTGCACTCATCGCCAGGCCGTCTTCATCCAGTATGACGGATCACAGAGAATAGATCATAGGCAATAATTAACAAGAGGCCCAGCTAGGCACGGCATCCTGGAATCCTGATCCTGGTTAACAAAACCCCTTGACCAGCACGAATCAGCTAGGGCGCAAGATGTGCGGCAAAACATGGGGCTAGAGATCCTGGAACAACAGATCTAGTCCGTACCACATACTACTGAAGTAGGTAATTGGTTTTTCTTCAAGGTAAAAAAAAAGATGTTCAGTCCGTTCAAGACGGCGAGGAAGAAGCCGAGATACGCTTTTCCTTGGACTCGAAATTAAACCCCTGAGAGACGGCATGCCCGTGAACAATATTGCTATCACCAGTTCGACAGAGGTGCTGGTCAGTCGTTACGCTGGCTGGCTAAAGATCACGCTGTGGTGTCTGCTGTGTTGTATCCGTCTGGGGGAGAAAGCGTCATGGGTTCGACCGCCCATCGCCTGAATCCATGCGACCATTCCCCCATCGTGCGTCGACGCACCTACGCACCCTTCTCTTCTATCTCTACTCCGTAAATTTTTTTAACATCTATGAGATGCGCAGAAGGAGTGAAGTTACTAAAAACATACCTCCTTGTCTGCAAACACGGGGTGGGGGTACTCTGTGAGCAAGCACGGTAACGTTGCCCGGTCCCTGGGCCATGCATCTCTCGATATACGAGCCATGCATCGGCCATGGGACCCCCTCAGCCGAAGAATAGCCCAGGGGGAGTACTGGGTTGGCAATTGCTGCGTGGTCCTGATGGCCATGGAGCGCAAATCAGGATTGCAATATTAATTACTTGAAGGGAACAAAAAGTGCAGGTTACGCGTGGTAATTAGTCCACCTACGTACCGCCCGGGTGGGGTGCGCTGCGCTGCGGTGCTGGTGCTGGTGCTGCCGCTGCCGCTGCCATGGAACGAGCATTCCGAGTCCTTAGAAGAGAAGGGCGACAACGACAATTTGGGCCAGGTGTGCTTTTCCAGGCAGCTAGGGAATTGCTTGGGACTACTGAGGCGCTGTGGCTTTGCCTTTGCAGCTTTTTCCTTCAATTGTTTGTCCCAGTCTGGAACCTACGTACGTACAGCTTAAGCTGCGTCAACCACACCTGAATGCTCTGGTCTAGATGCAGCAGATGCACACCCTCAGAGTTGCGATAATGCATCACACAGTCTGGTTAGGAATTGTGCTTCTGCCCTTCAGCGCCATTCAGCGGCGTGTCCGGCTGCGGTCCTCTCTTGCACGCGCCGAATGCTGTCATGGACATGGGCGGAACATTGAACGGTTCATACGCGGCAGGAGAAGATGAATATTGTTCCATACAAGATGTGCAACAGATGGCCTAGCAATAAGGTTTCCCTTTACTTTGTTTTTCCACTCTTTTCTGATGTCAATGTGAGGACCCGGGGCGTTGATCCTGGCGCAAAAGCGGCTTGCATATGATGAGGGGATGGGAAGGAGGGAGGGAGGGGGTAAACGGGCGAGTACAAGAATTGGAAGCATGAGACTATGACTGGTGGATCGGGATGGATGTCAAAGGGAGGTGGATCCGCCCGATCTTGGTTGAGCTGTGGAGTTGTGAGAGGAGAGAAAAAAAGAAAAGAAGGAAAAAGCAAACAAGAACCTTGATCGACGCACTACTGGGTGAGTTACTCTTAGAAGCATGTACCTACGTGGACATGAAGGATAGAAGGGATAGAGGGAGGGAGGACCCTTGTTGGGGATTGGTGAGTGAAGAGATACAGCGAACGATGTGCGACAAGGGGATGGGACAACCCGACGATCTGGTCCACGGAGCTGGGAAGAGCACAGTTATCTGTCTATGGTCCAGCACAGTACAGTTCATACAACTGACTAACTCCAGGACGATGCGTTACAGTCCCATAACTAACTATTGCAGATGCTGACAAGTTGAACTCCGCAGATACAGATACGATAATTACATGCACTCCATTAGTCGCGGATCCATTCATCCCCCATCCTCAAGCACCAACACAAGGCAACCCGTCGGTCATTGAAAATGATTGTCCACCCATCCGTGCCGTTATTCATCCTCTGGTGAGGAAAGGAGATGGGATAGGATAGTCCTGAGGCTACGACTGGCCACCAGACTCACTAAGCCAACTAACCCGACTACCACCAACACTAATCCAAAATACTTTCATCATTACCATTACGATCACCATCACGGATGTAGTGTGTATCCCCCCCTCCTCCTTCTCTTCCTCCAAAACCAGACCCCCATCCCAGCCCCAGCCCCAGCCTCAGCTCCGCTTTACCAGTCCAACCCGGTTCCGTTTCCAGTTCCATCGCGCGAAAGAAGAGAAGAGCAGGTAGGAGAATGCTATCAATACCGTGCAACTACACCTTACTCAGTATCTATTTACCTAATTACCAACTCACACGTAGGTCCAAGCCAGAGGAACAAGCCATAACGAGGGTCAGCAGTCGAGGGTAGACAGGTATCCCGCAGGGCGCCGCCGCACGCCGCCGTCGGTAGTCGCCCATGCCCATCCCCCAGCCCATTCCATCGCCGACCATAAAATCCAATCCAGTCGAATCCAAGCCAATCCAAGCCAATCCAATCCGTCCGTACACTCCCCAAATCCAAGTTGGGTTCATAGCCATTCCCTGTCCATCTATTCGCCTACCCTGTCCCGTTCTGTCTTTGCCCTTTCCTGTCTCGCCTTGCCCTTCTTTTTCTTCGAATCTAACCGTTTACCGTACTGGATCGAACTCGACTGGACCGGATCGAACTGGACGGGACTGGACTGGACTATCCTGATAATTGAGGGAAACAAGCTGTACCTACCGTTACCGTTCTTGTCGTCCGCCTTCTCTTCTTCTCTCTTTCTATTGCTCTCTTTGCCCTTTGTGCCTTTCTCTCAACCGCCGCCAACGCCGCATGACGCCTCTCCGGCTGCCCCTAGAACCCGTCCTAACCCATATGGCAAATCCTTATAGTTGGCTTTACTCATTCAATTCACATCATGGAATACTCCGTAATTGCGTGTACAAACAATCGACCGATGAATCGATCAATACAAATCAATATACTCCGTACTCTCGATTTCATAAGTGCAGCAATTACCTGTTGGTCATTTAAGAGAAGGTTGAAAACAATAACTAAAATAAAAATAAAAGGACCCTGCTTTCGGTTGACCTCGCATTCTCTTTCTACTGTACATGTACCTCGTATGTGCCAGAGGCGTGCACATACCCTGACCCTAAACCCTGGCCGTGACTATGACCACGACAGTGACCATGACAGTAACAATGACCATGACAATGACCCTGTCCTCGTCGCTCGTCCCCGTCCCCGTCCCCTCATGATCCTGGTGCTTTTCTTCTCTACTTTGTGTACCGCATCTAATGTGTATGTAGCTGTACTATCCATGTACCTTGATCCCAGCTCGTCTCTTCATCCCCATGTCCCTGTCGGTCCCCCATGTCCCATGTCTTTTGTCCATGCTTCATTCCATCCCATGCTCATCATCATCCACATCCATCCACATCCATCCACATCCACATTCATACTAATTCCATCCATCCACCCATCCACCACCCAAAAGAGGTCCCTTAGCCGCATCTCAAAACCCAAGACGCCGCCCTCCCACCTACCATACCCTACCTTTCCCTTACCCTACCATAACCGTACCCACCCACACCCACTATTCACACATCATCCGTCCCGATCAACCAAAAAGTCCTTGCGCTCCCCTTGGCGGTCTACCATTCTCTCACCAACTGTTCATCACTCCATCCACACACCCCGCCTGCCTATTATCTGTGTCTGTGTCCCTGTGCCGTGGGAGATATATACTCATTGCTGTCCGATCTCGCGGTCGTGCTTTGTCTTCTTGCTCCAACTATCACAACCCCTACTACGACAAACTACACACACCATACTTCTATCCTTCACACCAGTATTCTCTCTGGTTTCTAACTCTACCACTATTACACCTCGTGGTTTACTTCTAATAAAGGTATGCTTAACCTTCCGTTCGTCTCGTCGTCTGCCTCTTCATTGCCTACGAAATCACACGGTCGCCGCTACTTGTGCTTCGTAATACTGCGGCCAAGCAATACTTTGCTGCACCAACTCCCTTGAATCATTCTTCGTCGTTGCACCATCTGTCGACAAACTGCGTCTTTCTTTGCTTTTATTCTCCAATGTCCGGGTGCACATGTCGCCCCGTTGCGCACTTCCCCTACGCCCTCTGTTTCCACTCGGACTCCGTCCGCAAGGCCACCTCCAACCCCCGACAATCCTTCTATATCATCGACAGCCCAACCAGTCCCGGATGAGATTCAAAGAATAATCCCACTATAATAACAATTACGATAATAACTAGATCATCGTCGCTAACGAAGAGATTGTTTTTCTAGTTCATCTTCCAAGAGAAGATCACCACCAAGGATCCGATTCGGGGCGGACTCACTTCCAATCCTGATCAAATCAATAACCCGGATTCACTTCCAACTACCAGGACCAGTATAAGTACCTGGAACCTCACGACCGTTCTTCCAAGTACTCTCTGTGGGGACTTCTGATCCTCTTTCAAAGTATTCGCAATGGTCGTCCACCGTCGAGGGCCCTGGTCACAGCATGAGGACCAGTGGCTCGTCAACCTTGTCCTTCGCAATGGCCCTCACAACTGGGTCCGCATTTCGCAAGAGATTGGAACCCGATCGCCAAAGCAGTGCAGAGAGAGGTATCACCAAAACCTGAAGCCGTCGCTGAACCACAACCCAATCACGCCTGAAGAGGGGGAGTTGATCGAGCGTCTGGTCGGAGAGATGGGCAAGAGGTGGGCCGAGATTGCACGACGACTTAACGGCCGCAGCGACAACGCCGTCAAGAACTGGTGGAATGGAGGCCAGAACAGGAGGAGACGAGGACCCAACACACCCGACCACAGAGGCCATCAAATGCATGCACCGCAAATGGGTTATCAGTATCCCCCTCCACCATCGGCTCATCGAATGGACGACACTCCCCACGCTGCTTCTCCTCCTCACTCTTTACCACCACTGCACAAGGAGTATCAAGAGCCTTCCTACTATCCCCAGGCTCGCCGCGACTCCCAGAACACAAGATCCTCTCCTCACGGTCTCCAGCTTCCTCAGCCACCCTCCTTCCACTCTTCGTCACGACCACAGCCTTTGGAGCTCTCCACCTTTGGTTCTCGACCGTACGTCGAGACACCGATCCCATCGCCTGGGTACTCCGTCGTCTCAGTCGACACGGTTCCCTCGATGGTCACTGACACAGGATCTGATACCCGCTCTCCAAGAGGGGTGCCATCTCCGCTCGAGCAATCCGTCGGCTTGCCTCCTCTTGTGGGTGCTAGGGAAGAGCGTAAGAACTCAAGGACCCGCTTTCTTCCCCAGTCAGGTTTCGCCAGCGAAGACGACGCACCATATGACCCCTACAGGCGACGTGCATCAGTACAGCTTCCACCTTTGAACCGTCCCGAGCCAGCAACATCGACACCGACGTTCAGGGAGCCAAACTACAGGTTCGAAGACAGACCAAGTTTGCTCACTCAGCCCACACCGCAGCACGTTCACCACCACGCTCTCCCGCGATCTCCACTCCAGCATCGATTGCCCGCCTACGAGAACCTCACACTGCCTTCTCTACAAGCCGTCTCCCCCGGCGCAGTGAGCCCTTCATCCAGGCAACTTCCCCTACCAGCAACTGGTGGGGTTTCGAGGAGCGCACCCAGCTCACCGCGGGCGCCTGAGAACAAGGACAATAGGATGAAGCTGTCGGCCATCTGCTAGTCACGGGTCTCTGTATAATGTACGATTTGCTATGGTCATGTCTTCTTTTCTCTTTCTCTTCTTGTTCTTCTCTGTTCATTCGTACGATGCTGGTTACGATGTGGGCTCGTCACTGTTCGCTCTCATGCCATATCACCATACCTCTCACATGGCGTGGGGGCTTGGGTTCTTCAGGACAGTATTGCAGTACAGTCAGAATGCAAAACAAAAACGAACGGCCTTTGCGATGCAAGATACCCTTTTCATATCATATACCACTTACCACTACCATTACCATCCATTTCTCCACAAAATGTAGGATCTACGGGGCTCATTGGGACAAACCAAAACGCATTTTCTTCTTCTTCCTATTAGCTGTGAGCGCAGGACATCTAATTTCCATACCACTGTCCTACTCATCATTTCTTTTCATCGTTTGCAATGTTTCTACGGAACTCTTAGGGCTATATTGGGCGCTTATACCCCATCCATCATGCGCTCGTGGGCGGTCGGAAGGTGGTCGGGCATACACGGGTTTCCAGACGGAGTTTATTAAGGACCATGTTGCATCGTCGCATGCATGCATTTGAGGAACAAGGTTACTCCACGTCAGCATCATCATCATCATTTACTACCATTCCCCTTCGCTTTGCTCTGCTATGATCTCGCTTTTCTTCGCATGTGCGCGCTTTGGCGGCATTCAGAATCTCTGTTCTTTTTGGCCCCCGTTGACGTGGGCTTTGCGGGAGTTCGCTCAAGACTCTGGTTGATTGAATCATCATCGTCGTTATCGTTGTCATCATCCTGCATGCATACATACCTTGTTACGCTTTTCCCATACAGCGATTATAGCTAGCTTATACTCTAATACCCACCCTCATCGTCGCCTCGGTCTCCCACTTGCTCCCTCGCCATCGTATCTCTTGTGACAAGAGGGATGGATAGAGGGGAGAGGGGAGATGGACGATACTTAATAATACCAAACCACATACTCCAACCTTCAAACCTTGCTCTCTTGAATCACCTTACCTTCCAAGTGACTTATCTCCCCCTCGTCTCATCCTCCGCCTATCTCGCACAGGATAGCACAGTAACTGAACACCAAACATCGATACACCCTTTCCGGTAATCATGCCGTGCGATCATTCTGTTCAATCTCCCACCCTTCAATGCAGTCCGCTTGACCGCAGCAGCCTCTTCCCCTCTCCTTTCTTCTCCTAACCAGTCGCAGTAACCATGCTCACACACCACCGAGAACAGCAAAGCACATCTTCGTGAACGACACTCCTTTCGAGCCCAAACATCGTACCCACAACGAGCACCTCGTCCGCGCTGTCTATACATCTACGTACTCTACAAATCCATTAAGCAATCGAACGCCAACACATAACATATCACCCAAAACGTCGGTGTGTACTTCCCTCCTTTCCCTTCTCCTCCCTCTTTCTGGGCTAGCTGTTCACACACGTGTCCAGGAAACTACGGATCTAGTTCTAAGTTGTGATGTCGTGGACGGCGAGATTACCGCACCCGGAACAGTCTAAACATCACGGGGACGTGCCGCTCTAGAATGGCTTCTAGAGGGTGAGTAGAGAAGCACTTGTTCGTCGGGGGATTGATATGGGAATGTGTATGGCGTGGCTGTGGTGATGGACAGTTAGGTGCTACCTTTTGCTAAGATGCTATGGTTGTGTTGTCAGGTGTTGGGTCGCTTCGACCCTTTGCTTGATCGTAGGTGGTTTGGATGTGGGTGGGGGGGAGGGGAGGGGGGAGTCAAAGGCACATGTGTATGTGGATTGGTGCTCTTTGCACTTGATTCTGCTTCTCACGGTTCTTCCTTGATTTGTTATTTCCCACGGGGGCTGCGACATCGAATGACAGGTAGTTTCAGTAGATAGATGGGTTTGTTATCAACTGTTCATGCTGTAACTGTATGCTTGAAAACCTGTCCTTTGACGGGAGGTAGACTACATACGTATCAAAAGGCGAGGAAGAAGTCATGATCACAAAATGCTAGAGACGATATTCGAGTGTACGCTTAGTGACGCACAGTAAACGAAGCATTGCTATTTCCCATTCTATTTCCCTATTTATTCACTTACTTTCTACATAAGACCTGCCTTGAGATACGTGGGCGACTGCGGATTTGCAGTGCGGAAGAGGCGGAACACGTCGCGGTAAGACACACATAGTCCTCATCTCAACGACTTTCCTAAACATACAGACACACATTCACACACTTACCATGGTCCACCGCTCCAGCTAGACGCCCACACGAGGACAAGCACCAGACTCGACTAGCCTCGCGGGCAGCGCGAAGTGTGCGTGGGTCTGCCCGCCCTCACGACCTCGACCGTTGGAAGGATGTCGAGAGTTTCGCCCCCGACTCATCTACCCTACACCCCCATACGGCGCACAACGGGACCAAAATCTTTGACATGGGATGTTAGTCAGACGTGGGTGGGAGTTCCACCACGTGTGTGCAGGGAGAGAGAGGGAAGCGTTAGGCATGGAAATGGCACGTTTTACAAGGGGCTGACTCGAAGGATGTGAGTAGTGAGTGAGAAGTGTGCAAGTATGTTTGTTGGGCATGCGGCATGGCGAGTGAGCGAGGTGCCGAAGAAGGATCGTCGGGAGTTGTGTGTGGAATTGGAGGATGGATGAGCGAAACGAGATCTCTGATAGGGCGTCGACGAGGATGCGAGGTGTGGGTACTATGTCGGCAGTAGTACTGTGTACATACCTGTACGAACGCTACGAAGAGGTGACTGTCTTGGGTTTAGAGATGGTCGTTAGGCAAGCAAACAAGAAGACGGGCGGGAGAGGGAGGAGTGTTGGGCGCTAGATAGGTGAGCATGTGGCACAGTCAATCACCTTGGGAAACTGTTAATTAATTACCTGGTTTGGCGTTTTCCTGCTCACGTTCTCTCTCGGTGTCCGGAAACCGGTCAACGTTTGGAACATGTTTTTTGCTTTTGTTTTGATCCTTGCGAAAAACGGTTTTCTATTTTTAGGGGTTGGAGATTGCGATGACCCTGCCCACTGATCGAGATTCGATGTCAGAGATTAGAGATTGGAACGTTTGAGATTAGACGTTTGAATTGAATAATAATCATCAGCCTCAGGCCGCCGGTTTCAACGTTGAAGCGACATGATCTGATCACTGCCCTGTTGTTCACCGTCTGAACCCACAGAACTTGAGTTGAAGTGCCAGGCAAGCATCGTTAGTGCTACTAGATTCGGGATTTTCGTCCGCCGTCCGGCATTTGGTTTCCCATCCTGGCCATTTGCCTATTCGAAGATCATGAGTCTGAAGGGGGAAAGGGCTATGGACGAGCGAGGCTAGGCGAGAGCGTTGCAAGCGAGGCCGTCCCTCAAAACGGCCAGGGTGGGGATCTCGAACTCGAATTTCAAACTCTAACCTTTCCCAAGCAGGCGCTTACAGACGAAGGCCCAGAAACGCGATCGTATACGCCATGGCAGATACGGAAGGGAGTGAACAGCACGCTTTTGATGAGGGAGGACCTCCGAAGTGCCCAGCTTCTGTTCCAGGATGCAAAGGGGCCGGCAGCAGAACGTCACAACAAAGTCACGGTTGCGGCCGCGGGAAGCCGTTGTCGACCCTTGTGGTTGGGACTGCGCGTGCTCTGAAAAATTTCGAGGCCGACCCATGCCCACGTTTCCCTTTCCAATTGCGTGCAGAGCGCGACCGGGGTCAAGTGGGAGATGACAAGGTGCTGAGGTGACAACGAAAGTCGTCACCATGTCGATGGCCAGGCAATGACCAGTTGACATCGAGATTGGCCTCGCTTAGACGGACGAGATACGTCCTGTCGGGCACGGAGACAGAGGCGCGGTGGCCCCTGGTATTCCACAGACATCCCTGCCTGGCCGTTAACAGTCGTCTGTTAAGACACCCAAAATGCGGAGAGAGGCCCGGCACGGCTTCCGACATTCGGGTCTGGGTATATCAGAACGGATATATAGATGAACACGTTCAAGGAAGGCAAAAGCCGCGACCCAGGAAACTTTGTGCATCCTTCAGCCGGGTCCCTATTGTATTAGCAGCCGTCGTTCACGATGCAAGGCCCGCCCTCGGTGTCTGCACGCTGCAGCAGAGATTCTGCGACGGCACTGTAATGTGCTCTGGGGATGCTGCTGCAAGCCACGCTGTCCTGCCCACACTCGGGCTTCCACCAAACACGCTGCTTAAGCCGCTTCGATATCGCAACTGTGCATCAAGGAACTGCCGTTGTCCATGTCGCGATTGGTCTATCGCGATTTATCCGGATGCAAACACAAGGCAGGCGCAGAGCAGGGTAGGTTATTGTATACCGAATACACAAGTGGCGGGTCAGGGGGAGAGATGTATGTTCGTTGCCGTCACCGATGTGATGGTTCCAGAGGCTCGTCACGTGAACATGGTCCGAAAGGGGTTTAAACGGCCGCGCACAGGCCCCAGCCATTTCCAACGTCGATCAAACGCTTTCTTGGACAGACGACCGACAGCCTCAATCTCATTCCTGCAACCAGCGTCATCCATCATCCTCCTATCCCCACCCCGCCTCCCAAGACGTCCTGTTCTCATCTCTTTCGCGTATTCATGCAGTGTGGACATGTTTCGGATCTCCAATTTACCCTAGCGAGCCGTGAAGCCTTCTTTCATCACCCAGTTCTCGGTACTCGGTCGCGTTCTGTCATGAGCCGCCCGCATGTCTAGTTCCTTGTATGACCCGGATACTGCCGCCATTCTCGTCCAGCCCTGGAGTGAGGCTTTCAGGGTATGCATCTTCTTTCTATTGAATTCGAATCATGTGCCCTCTCGTTCCATCCCTCAATGGAATGGCGTTACGCCCTGGTGTGATGAAGTTCTAACAGAGGTACACAGAGCCAGCGAGATGTCGGACTGAGGATACCTATCAATTACAATACTGACCCTGCCGTTTCGCTTCAAGCTGCTTGTTTCGCCCACAATCAGTATGCGAGCGAGGCGTTCGCAAAGTGCTTTTCCAACTTGCTTGCCATAGGTTTCAAAAGATTTTATGTGGACGTTTACTGGGATTCTGGTCGTGAGCTCTGGAGTCTATGTCCTGCGCAAATCCCACCTGCTGCCCAGCAAGAGCAAGAGCAGCAAACATCTCCAACAGTCTTGACTGTCCTTCCCAACGCTCCCAGCGTCATCACGAGCAGCGCTAGTAGCAGTGGTTCTTCGGCAGACGCACTATCATCTGTTCCAGCTGGCCCGATTCCTGTGCTAAAGGTCCGACAAGATGAATCAAGTCGAGGGTCAGAGGCAAGTCAAACTCAGACATCCTCTCCTACGGCCCCTACCGGCGTGTCTGTATCCTCATCATCGGCTACTCCTTCTGCACTCCCGGCTCCGGGCTACTTCGAGTCGATGATCCAAGTTGGCCGCTTCAATTGTTCGTCCCAGATGTCTCTGAGCTATATCGCAGACATTCTGGATGACTATTTTTCTGATACTGATACCACCGTGGAGGCCTCCCTGCTTTCCCTCATTCTCGATATACATGCTGCGGCCTCCTATTCAGATCCTGATGCGCCGGCGCCAATGGCTTCAAACCTGCCCCCGTCTGGCGGATTGCTGAAGGACGTAGTGAGGGGAAACTTGTCAGAAGAAGTATTTACTCCTGACAAGTTGCAGTCTGACCGCAACAACCTTGAGGGATCGTGGTATGATGTGCCGCGAGATCAAATGCCTGCCATCGGCTACTACGATGTCCAACGTAATGACACCAATCAACCCATCACTGTTGATGGTTGGCCTACAGAAGCGTACATAGAGTTTCAAAGGTATCTTCGAATCTTGGTAGGACTGGGTAATATCGATCCTCAGATGAGCAACTACGATTACACCGAAGACCTGGGTACTATCTTCAGGCAGGGCCAACTACAAGTGTATCACAACACGTCTATCGCGTCTAGCGGTACACTCACCTCGGGCTGCATGTTCGACCCTTCTCAAAACGGCATTACTCCAGAGACAAATTCGTCATGGGCCGTGACCAACGCACCAGCGCTCTCCCTATCCCCCAACATCGACCCTCAAGTACCGATCGCGAGTATCTCGAATATAACGTCTTGTGGAATGGGTCCCATTCTCAACACGACGCTGGGCTCTGCGACTGCCGACCAGAACTTTCAGCCATACCTCGCTTTCACTTACTCCACGCTTTGGACGTGGGCACCTGGTCAACCACTGAATACTTCCTCCACCCGCCATGAATACATGAACAAATGCGTAGCAATTGCTCTCACTGGCCCTAATCCAAACCGCTGGGTAACTGTCGACTGTACCATGCGTATGCGATTCGTGTGCCAGTCGGATGACGAACCATATAAATGGACACTTTCTCCGGAATCTGCAACCTATTTCTTAGGCGATGAAGCCTGCCCTAGCGGTTACACATTCACCGTGCCTCATACCTCCCTCGAACAAGCCCATCTAATCTCTTCTATCTCCTCTATGCAGTCGATGGATGGCTCCCCCATCGACCGCGTGTACATCAACTTCAACTCCATCGACGTGCCAGACTGCTGGACTACCGGCATAAACGCCACATGCCCTTACCAACCCCGTCAGGATGTAAATAAAACCCGCCTTGTCGTCGTCCCCACCGTTGCCGCTGTCATCATCTTCGTGCTCGCCGTTGCCACGTTCTTCGTGAAGTGTGCGTCGAATCGTACAGAGAATATGAGAGGCCGGAGGAGGAGAAACGTGTCTGGATGGGTGTACGAAGGTGTGCCAAGTTAGCCACCCTTTATGTCCAGAAACATGTACCATTGGCTTGTGTATTTTGATTTTCTGTTCGGGCTTACAGCGGGAGTATTATCATTTATTTACATGGTTGCCAGTTAATACCCAACATGCATTTCTATCAACAATGTATTCAGATAGTATAGTAAATATCATATATAATCTAGCACCAATTCTCTCTCGGGCTTCCCGTCAATTTTTACGATCAACCCATGATGAGACCCTACACCACGCACGTCTTCCGTCCTATGAGATGCCTTGCGCCATCTTAACATACATGATTGAAAAGCCCTAAATTCATGAGTGGGTGGCTTGACCAATCTATGGCGCCTAGTTTTGTTTAGCATTCGAGGCCGCGGCGCCACGCGCATGTATTGCTTTGGTTATATACAGTTCTCTGGAAGACGGGGACACAGCATTGGATTGCCTAAATGCATGATCGAAGCGATACGGGGACTATCAGAGGTTGTATGACGTCGGTCTCGATTAGATTACCTGGCGGATGATCTAGAATTTTACTTTGAATCTACATCTCGATCATTTTTAGTTGGGTGCTTGATACCCATCAACATCCGTGCTATTGCTAAGCTTCTCATACTTCTTCACACTCTCCAAATCCGCCTTCAACTTGTTGGAAATCAACTTATACGCATCAGTGCCGACAACACATCTCAACGGAGGATCCTTCATGACCGCCAATTCATAGAAAGCCTGGGCGCCCTTGACCGGATCGCCAGCCTGGGTGTGATGTCGCTTCCCGGCATTTGACCTCGCGTCAATGTGGTCGTACGCCGAGTTCTTGTTGGCATGGAACTGCATGCTTCGGCCAGCCCAGTCGGTTCGGAAACCACCGGGCTCAATAAGCGTGAACTTGATACCCCATTCGGGCTTGACTTCTTTGGAGATTGCGTCTGTGAAGCCCTCCACGGCAAATTTTGATGCGTTGTAGATGGAGTATGTAGGGACGCCTGGCATTATATGTTAGTATTTTCATTCAATCTCATGTGCCGCAAACATACCAAGAAGACCACCAATCGATGTAACCTGCTGAATAACACCCCCAGTCTTCAAATCCCGCATGACCTGCATCGCCTTACGAGTAACGTTGACGACGCCATAGAAATTCACATCCATCTGCGTCTTGACCTCCTCATCGGACAACGACTCAAACTCGCCTGCTAAGCCATACCCGGCATTGTTGACGACCACGTCCACGCGTCCGAATTTCTTCACGGCGGCATCGAAGGCTTTGTCGATTGTATCGGGTTTTGTGACGTCCAGGTCCACTATGAGACTGTTGGTATCGTTGGTGCCTTCAAATGATAGGCTGGATGAGTTGCGGGCCGTGGCTACGACGTAGTCGCCCTTGTCGAGGACTACTTTGACGAGTTCGGAGCCGAAGCCGGTGGAGGTTCCGGTGATGAGGAATACGCGGGGTGCCATTGTTTTGACGTGGATGAATTATGTTGTTGTGTTTGTTAAGGTGCTTCTTTTGTCGCTTTGGAGGTTCAACGTTTAGTCTTATATATCGTCATCGACCATCGGATAATGCATCAAAAGTCCGCGTTAATTCCGTACTTGCTAATCACCTTTGCGGATGTGAACATTATTCCCGCATGCTCACCACGATATAGATAGACTTTGTGAGGTTGTGTAACCTGTGATAGATAACATATGTAATGCTAAATGTCTCCATTTGGTATCGATTGTTCTTTTGTATCGTTGCTGATCAGAAGATTGTCACTCGGTTCTGAGCCACCGTAGTAAGCTGCCCAAACAACAGATCCGTAGTATTCCATTATTGATATTGTCCACCTACTATCTCGGTACGTGATATCGGGATTGGCAAGCAGTAGACGCTAACTAGAAACTGCAGTGCCCAGCAACGTGTCGGTTTAGGTCACGTGCATCCGAGGTATTACAATTCTTTGAAACCACATTACATTCAAATGTGAGGAGTAAGTAAATATCAAGATATTGAAAAGAACTCTACAAGTATTTATTCAGATACACATTCAAAACTGGTCAGAAGGAGTTTGGCGTTGGACAGGGAAGTTCAGGTTTCCACGATGATTGCATTGATCCGCATAGCCGTTTCAAAATCTCCTTTAGCCAATCACACAGCCCATAGCAGCTAGGTAACGGCAATAGATCCGAGTAACTGCGGAGCTGATGACAGGCCGTTTCCAGGTGCTTAGCTGGTTCAGTCGAAGACCTCGCCAGGTTCAAAGCGGACGCCATCAAGACAAGCTGGAATTCGGCAACCGAACGATACCAAATTTGTCTGTCCTAGATCTCGAAATGAACTCGAAATAAGCATTGAGACCCTCCAGCCCTACCACCAAAAGAACGAAGATCTGGGGAGTTCGCGATGCATTTGACGATGAGGAGCGACCCGAAAGGGTATAGTCTTGCCTTGGCATGCGTCATCAATGCCAGGAGAACACTCCCAATGGTCACGCTATCCATGATACTTGATCTGCCAAGTATCACAATGTGAATACAGGTTTGGAGAGGGATATCATAAAACCTAGCCTTCTTCTTTACCACATTCTACAACTTTGCTCGTTCTTATATCACACATCGCAACTCAATTGTTGAGGCTGTCTACGACCTTCAACAATTTCCAATGGCTGACAAGGGAGACGGATCGACGGAGCGCCGCGGGGTCAAAGAGAAGATCGAACATCCTTTCCCTGAGCTCCGCGAGAAGCTGAAAGAGACTTCTCTGTACGATGCTAAAATCAAGGCCGTACATCTGAAGCACAAGATTGGAAAGTTTAAAAATCTGTTCAATCCTAATCATCGCCACGACGAGGAGCATGAACAAAAGACAGACGAGAAGCGCAAGAAGGTTTGCGATGGCCATCGCTTCAACTCATTTGCCCCTGAAAGAGACGGAAACTTGATCAAGTGGTATATTGACGGCAGAGACTATTTCTGGGTATGTGACTCTGATCGATTGCGCGAGTTGATCTAACTAGGAGTCAGGCTGTCGCAGAGGCTTTAGACAAAGCGCAACAGTCAATTTATATCGAGGATTGGTGGCTGTCACCGGAGCTTGTAGGTCTTTGCCATTCTAACCTCCCAATTATTACTTATTCGCTGCCAGTTCCTCAAACGACCCCCATTCTATAACCAAGAATGGCGTTTAGATCAGATCCTCAAGCGTCGCGCAGAAGCTGGCGTCAAGATTTACATCATCGTATACAAAGAGGTAAGATACGCCAACGTTCTAATTCAAGCGCGATACTCACACGACCAGGTTTCGGCTGCACTTACCTGCAACAGTCAGCACACGAAGAAAGCTATGATGAATCTTATTCCTGAGGGCAAGCCTGGGTATGGAAACATTAAGCTGATGCGACACCCTGATCACAATGTTTTGGAGAATGCCTCCGATATGACATTTTACTGGGTAGGCATATAAATTCCTCCAGTAGCCGAAACACCAGACTAACCATCGCTAGGCGCATCACGAAAAGTTTATTGTCATTGATTATGCGATGGCATTCATCGGAGGACTGGACATGTGCTACGTATGTAATAGAACCGAACCAAAAAAGTTAAACTAATAATAGGAATAGGGCCGCTGGGACAATCATCAGCATCCTCTTGCCGATGTCCATCCATCCGGCGTTCAGAATGAGATCTTCCCTGGGCAGGATTACAACAACAACCGCATCATGGACTTCCAGACCGTTGAAGACTGGAAATCTAACGCCCTAGACAAGTCAGACTATGGACGTATGCCATGGCACGATGTCGCTATGGGTGTGATCGGACCCTGCGTCTACGACATTGCAGAGCACTTTGTCCTGCGCTGGAATTTCTGCAAGCGAGACAAATACAAGCGAGATGAACGTTACGACTGGCTCACCCTGGAAGGCCGCGAAGGAGAGGATGAAGATCTCGTCGGTGTGCAACGACCGAAGTTCCCAATGGGAGACTACGTTCATCACCCATTCACACCACTGAGCACGAAGAACCTGGACAACCGAGGAACCGTACATGCGCAGATCGTGCGTAGCAGCGCCGACTGGAGCAGTGGAATCCTGCCCGAGGAGAAGAGCATTCAAACCGCTTACATCGAATTGATCCGTAACGCGAAGCACTTCGTGTACATCGAGAACCAATTCTTCATCACGGCAACCGGTGATCAACAAAACCCAGTCCATAACCAGATCGGGAAAGCGATCGTAGATGCCGTGGTTCGCGCCGGCAAAGAAGGTAGAAAATTCAGGGTCATCATCCTAATTCCTGCCATTCCTGGCTTTGCGGGAGATCTTAGGGAGAACGCAGCAATGGGAACCCGAGCGATCATGGACTACCAGTACAAGAGTATCTGCCGCGGAGAGCACAGTATCTTTGGGCAGTGTGAAGCGCAGGGCGTCAACCCCAGGGAACACATTTTCTTCTTCAACCTCCGTTCATACGATCGCATCAATGTCACCCGCAAGCTCATCGAACACGAAGAGAAGTCCGGCATGAAGTACAAAGACCTCGTCCAGGCCGAAGTGGAAGAACTGGAAGCTCCTTTGGAAGACGGCAATGAGGCACGAATACGGGCCGCAGACATGCGACGACGCTTCGCCGCTGACGAAGGCGAGGTCGCTGCTGGTGATCAAGGCGGCATCATCGACCCCGATTCCATTGCCGACGATGCCATGTTGACGGACAAGAAGCCCAGCACCGAGCCATGGGAGGGCGACCCCGAGGCTGAGAAGGAACACTTCTTCCAAGAAGAACTCTACATCCACGCCAAACTCTGCATCATCGACGACGAATACGTCATCTGCGGCAGCTCCAACATCAACGACCGCTCCCAACTCGGCTACCACGACTCCGAACTCACAATCGTCATGAATGACACGGACAAGATCGAAACCGTGATGGACGGCCAGCCCTACCAAGCCGGCAAGCACGCCTGGACTCTCCGCACAATGCTCTGGCGCGAGCATCTCGGCCTCCTGCCACCACAGGCCCTCGACGCAAGCGACGACCCGAACGCCCAACCCCCAGGCCATTCCCCCAACGAGTACCGCGAAGGGCCCGAACTCGACTTCGTCCGGGACCCTCTCGGCAACGAATTATGGACGAGATGGTGCGAACAAGCCACCGTCAACACGTCCGTATTCAAAGACCTGTTCCACGCCGATCCCGACGATGAGATCCTCACCTTCGACGACTACGACAAGTTCACGCCCAACCCTAAAACTGATGAAAAGCACAAGCAAGGCCATCTGTACGATCTAGACAGGCCGGTCGAGGAAGTCAGGAGAGAGCTGGACAGGATCAAGGGACACTTGGTCTGGATGCCGCTCAAATTCCTGGAACAGGCGGAGATGGCAGAGAAAGGATTGCAGGTCAATTCTTGGACGGAGAGTGTGTACACTTGAGTGACGTGCCGTCGGCGGATTCATCATTTCTGGGATTTCTATGGAGTTGGTCAATTTTGAAGGCCTCGTGTGGGGGCAGTTGATCTGGGAACTATTTGTTTATGAAGTTTTATGATTTGTTGGGCTTGCTATTAATACCTCTCTGTGGTAGTACAGGTTTCAATTACTAATGACAACCACCATGGACTCGAGGATTGAAAATCTACTCGCTTCAATGACTCAACCACCCCTTGTACCTTCTATAAATTGCAGTACGTGATATCGCAGAAGACCAACCCTCACTGCTCTTCGCCGTCTAAATCAAAGAGTCGATACCATGGCTCCATCTCTGGACCCAGAGTAATCCGGCCAGGGTCCAGTGTCGTTTGATCTACTCCACCCCGTGCTATCACGACCTTGCCAACATACCTATACGCCTTTGACCCGCGGCTCGTGAAAATATCCAATAGATGAGTAAGCCGCTCCTCGACAGCCTGAACGCCATTCCACTTAACGCCGTAGAGAGGCGTGTCCATGTCGAGACCATCACAGAGCCCCGGAGTGCGCACGGGAACCTCCTCTTCTGTGAGCAGCACTGGAGTTTCACTCTCCTGGACGTCAAGGTTGATACATAGTCTGCGAATGAAAAGGTTGCCGTAGTTGTAGCCTGAAGTGAAAAGCCCCACTGCCCGGTGCGGTTGTTCGAGCTTCCCTGCCATGCCGCTGTGTAAGAGTCTAAGGAGGAATGAATTTATGGTGTTCCCCACATATGTCCTCTTTCGATATATCCAACGGTCGGTGTGATCCAAGACCAGTTCTGGATTGCTTGTACAGAATTTGACATTGATCGTGAGCGACTCGATTTGAGCTGTCTTGTACGGTACTGTGAAGCGCCATGTCGGTAGCAGATACTGTTCGTTGACGACAGGAAGATCTATAACGTATTCCGGTTTTAATCTGGCTAGCAACGCAGTCACTTCGGCATGCATTTGGCGATTGGCCAGTAGGAGACCCATCTTCGTGGCGATGGGTGTTGATAGGTGAGGATGGAGATAGAGTATTTTCCTACACTTCTCTTTTACAACTACATCTTCACATACCCTTCGCATGTGGCGTCTTGGTCCGTAGGGGATATGTGGGATATGGAAAATCGCATACTCGAGAATCTCGTCACGCAGTTCGCGTGGGAGATGGAAGAAGGGGAACATGCGATATTCGGATGTTGGGAGTTTCGTGGTACATACAGTACAAAGCACAGTAACCACCGCATGATCTGAAACATACGGCATACCAATTAATTCTATCCTCTATCCAGACTAGCATACAGCTGGCAACAATCCACGTGATTTGTGGCAAGATTTCAAGAACTCCTCAGACCAATGCTAGTCCAGACAAAGCCTAGCAGGATAAGAAGTTATTCGCGGTTAATTCAACGCACAGACCAGCCTTGCACAGTATTATATGTAACATACCTCACTCTTCAAGGTATCTGCTCGAGACTAATTGGCTCACTTTGGACAATTGGCTTGTAGCTGAAAGGTTATCTGAATTGAAGTGCTAGCCCCCATGCATAATTACTGAGAGCCATGGCTGAAACAACTTGATTCGATTATGCGTTTAGCAAGATGACTACAACTACTGCTGAGTCGAAAACTATACACTGCATTTATAAATTTCTCCTGTGGATGTCAAGTTTATGTCTGCAATACCTGACGATGAATACATGTAGCTCTGACATGATGGCATTGACATCGGTTGATCCAACTCCTGGAAAATACACTCTACTTACTGTTAGAACAAGGGGCAATTCCTGCCATTTATACTAGCTAGAGGCCTGAGTGGCCCAGATTAGCTTAGTATGATTACATAATGCTCCCTATAACACTGGCTGAGAAACAATAAGTTTCCTCAGCGATTCGTCTCTATCATTTGGGGATAATAGAATTGACTCGATCTCACTATTGCTAATTGCCAACTTCTAAGTGCCCTGCAAACCAATCCTAACACTTACTACAGCAGCATTAACTCGAGATGAGCAGGTAAACATAAAGCACGGCTTGCTGCGATGTAGAAAATGCCAGGGACAAGATAACTTCACCAGGCCGACTATATCCATCCGGTGTACTAACCTGGGTGGCGCTACAACTAAAGATCTCTAGGAGTAGGATATTCTTCTTTGAACTTGAAAGATGAGACCAATCGACAGGGACATGTTCGCCGATGAAGGGATTATACATCCGACAGAGAATTATAGAAGTCTACTATAACTACAGTCCAACTCTCCTACAGAGGACCTCAAGACCCTTAAAGAAGCGATGCGCTATATATTCCTGACTCGGAACAGGAGTGGCCGTAGTCCTCAAACTTAAACACAAACCCAGCCATGATGGAGGTGACATAGCCCGCTCAAATTAGAGAGATATCGAAAGGAGCAAAGGTCGTAAGTAGCTAGGGTGTAACACTGTTCTGATTCGATTCTATAAGTCGAAGTATTGCTTGTCGTAAGGTCCTGGGTTCCAAGACATGTCATAAATGAGTTTCCCTATGTGGCTCATCGTAGCTTTTATTCTAAGCTTCACTCAAATGGGAAAATTTACTATTTAGGACTGGATGGTAAGTGGAGATCATGATACCATAGTACAGCAACATCACAGATTGAACAAGTGAGAAACACTTGATGAGTCAAACAAAGAGATACATTCATGGAGAATAGTGTATGATGAAACCCGCAGTGCCTATCTGCATTTCTTCGTTCCTTTAGAGTGCTGAGATCTTTAAGGCCTGCCGCCTTGTGCAGTCCTGAGCTTGACCTCTGCTTCGTCTTCCCATAGCACCCGCGCCCGACAATCTACCAAATCGCCGCGTAGTCTTTGAACACCACCTGAAAAAACTGGCAATTTTCAGTGTCCAGCGGGATTTGGAGGCGGCGATTTCCAGAGTTGTTCCTGGAGCCGCTCATCCCAGTACTGTTTGGCAAAATATCGTGAAACATGTGCCTCTTTAGAATAAAATCCTGCGGCCGCTTCCGCGATGTCTTTGGGTCTCGACGTGTTAATCTTCCGAGTTTTCGGGGATCTTGCCATTGTTTGACTCGACAGTAGAAAGTCGTGCAAAGTCGGTCATGCCTTGTGAATAGCCTTGCAGGAAGCTATCTTCTTCGTGCGCTTCGAGCGTCTTGTGAGCATCAATGTCGGGGTCGTCAAGCCTTTCGAGACTCTTCATGAAAACATCGATCCACTCGACACTACCGTGTAGGACTTTTGCCTCTCGATCATATTTTTTCTCCAAATCCTCAAGCTCGATGCGGTGATCTTCTGATGCTGCATCTTGAACGATACCACTCAAGAAATCGCGGAACTCTAGCAGCGACTGCTGCTTATCCGCAGAATCTAAAAGTACGTCAAGTTGATCGTTCACCTGAAGAATTAGCCGCTCGGCCACTAAATGCTTGAGTTTGGATTTCTCAAGCGCTGCCTTTTGTTCTTCGAGTTCGAGTTCCATCTTATCCACTGCCCACCTCTGTCTCACAAAGCGTCTGATCTCTTCTTGAAACCAACGCTTGTACTTTTCATTGATCTCTTCGGATTGTCGCGTTATCTGGGCCTTTAACGCGCTCTTCATCTTTCTCAGCTCAGAATTTTCCTCTTCAAGCTGGCGCCTTTCGGCGAGGAGTATCGCGGTCGTGGCGGGGTCATCATCGGATGGTTGCTCCTCAGCCTGGCTCGGAGGAACATCTTCGCAGCCGTCTCCACCGGAAAAATCCTGGTTTGACGGGCTTGACGACATGCAACGTCCATGTTTCTCAGTCTGGCTCAGAGAAACGACGTCATCTTCATAGCCGTCTTCACCAGACAGATCCTGGCTTGACGGGCGTGGGGACATGTGACGTCCTTGGGATGACGTGCTGAACATGACGTTTTCGGACCGGAATTGTTCACTGCTCATTTCTGCAGCAGAACTTTCGCCTTGAGCCACATGGAATGTGGGTTCTTCTTTCACAGCGGACCGTGGTTTTTCATCGTGTCGGGTTACGGCCGAAGCCGATGTAATGACATCCATCGTGAGGTACAATGGGGCCAAAGAAGATTGGAGGCGGTAGAAGTAAGAAGAAGGGAGGATGGGAGGATGTGCGCGGGAGGTTGAGAGAAGAAAGAGGAAAGTGAGAGATGTTTACAACCACCCTCTATCGAAGTGATGGTTCTAGCGTCTATCGGCTTCGGTGAAACCAAACCTCCATATTTGCGTTGTGCTGTTTGTTTGGTGAGAAGGTGAAGGCGAGTTCGTCAGTTTGTCCGTGTCATTGCTTTCAACCTCACAATGGATTGACATAAGCTTCGTCCTAGAGAAACAGACTCTGCTGGCACATGCTCATCTATGGTCAAATTGGCAATGCTGTGTTCAGTAGCCGGCGTATAACATAACATGAAGGAAGTTGATCACAATGGCAGGTTGCTACACAACCTCAATTTATAAACGTCGGTATTATGGTCCATGAAAGACATCATGGGTGGCTAGCGGAGATACTCAATTGATCTACACTAACTCCAAGCAGGCCTTCGTCGAACGGTTGATGCTTTAAAGTACCTTTGATAACGTTCTAAATCAAATGCGCCGTCTTCCAGCTCCTTACTATTCGCATCTCCCGCCCAACAAAACGTCTTACACCCCATTAGCACCTCCCCACTTTCCAGCCTTACATCGCACTCACACCACGTATACGCCTCCGTCTCGTACTCTGCCAAGCGCTTGAACTCCGAAACAGACCTACAATTCCAGACCGTACCACTCACTGCGCCATCTTGAGACGGAACTAAAGCGGGATAGATACCCCACATTCGGACCGTAAAACCTGTTGTAGATCCGTGGCAGATATATGGCGAATTCGGCAGCTCGATAATGGATTGAAGTACTTCTGGGTCCATGAGAGTGCCGTAGAAGAACAGGTTGCATGGAAAATTAGGTGGAGCGGATGGCGTTGGTTTGGTTTTCGAGAGGCTGCTCAGGTGAGAAGATTTCTTCGATGTTGTTGGAGTTACTATCTTGCTTGACATCTTTCGGCGCACTGATCGAAGTGGCGGGGGCACTGGGATTTTGGATTCTTCGTTGTGTACATGCGTTGAAGTGCCCTCATCAGTTCGTTCCACTGGTTGCGGCGTAGTTTCACCGGAGGTTGGCATCTCTCCATCCGTGTTAACGTTTGTCATGACAAGTCGTGAGCGATATGAATTAATCCTACCGGGGAAAAGATTTAGTTAAAACCGGAAGTTGGTAAGGGTTAAAGGACCAGATGTGTTGTTTAAGTCTTGTAAGGGTCAGTGTTGCTATATGCTGATGCATGGATATGTCGCTTAGGTGACACGCTGGTTGAATCTTGAGCGACGCGTCAAGCATGGACAACAATACTTAATACTTTTGTATATAGGGCAATGGCTCTCGTGAATTCAAATTCTAAGTCTGTATAGGGCGAGTATCTGTCTCTTGCCTCGCAGAGAACTGGATGCACATTATCCCACAACACGCGCAAAACCACGTGACCGATGAACGACATCTCTTCAACTCATTCACATTGGTGGAGGCATTCTCTCTACCATGTATACTCATAAAGGCAAGGCAATGACCCATAAGCAATCAGTAAGGGATTTTAAAGATACAATTGAAAGAAAATGCCACAAGACAAGAAAATGGCGCATCTCTGCCCGTCGGATGTATGAGAACGACGCCCGTATCGTCATGTAATGTATGGCAGCACCACAATCGAGACATCTCACTCAAAAAATCTAGTTTGGAGTATCACGCTGGTAGAAGCATCATCTAGAAAGCGGAAAAGCGTTACATTCGCACTAAAAACCGCCTCTTGCTATCTATGTAACCATCGAACATCCCAAACATTAGAAAATGATAGCATTCGAAATGCCTGTCTTCACTAGAAGAGGGTGTAGCATTTGTCACCTGTCCCCGATATGTAGCGTTTCTCGACTGGAATCTCGATCAGTCCTTCTCAATTTTGCCACCGGACGCGTGTTCGACTGTTTCTCCTTGTCCTATGCAGTGTTCAAGGGCAGACCATAAGGCTCCGTACTTTCTCCAATAGGCCCTGTCCTTTCAACTAGGAGCTGTCGAATTCCAGAGTTCAGGACCCCAATGTTCTTCTGCATTGCGATAAACTAAAGATTAGCTTGTGCTAGACTTCTGTCTAGCATTACCTTCTCTTTGGCGAACCCTTTCGTCAGCAGACTAAATATTCTCAATGAGTTGGCAGGGCTCATCCCGCTCAGGTTCAGTCATCTTCAGTCTTCCATCGCCTACATGTACTGGTGTCTCTGGCGAAACGCATGTCTGCAACGTCTCTGGCGAAACGCATGTCTGCAACGTCTCTGGCGAAACGCATGTCTGCAACGTCCCTGGCGAAACGCGTGTCTGCAACGTCTCTGGCAGCATTAGTCAACTGGGCCACCGCACGATTCTGCGGTGCGTCTGATTCCTGACGTCTCTTGGGTCCGACGTCTCTTGAGTCCGACGTCTCCTGATTCGACGTCACTGGGTCTGGCGTCACTGGGTCTGGCGTCACTGGGTCTGGTGTCACTGGGTCTGGCGTCACTGGGTCTGGCGTCACTGGGTCTGGCGTCACTGGGTCTGACGTCTCTAGCAGCTGTAGTCAACTGGGTCACCCCATGGCCGTACATCATCTCTCTTAGATTCGATAATCAGGAATCCGGTCCTGCATCGCTTCTATTTCTCGGGCGATTTCTCGGGTGCCTTGGGCCTGTCTGGCCACAAAGGTTCTAGCAGCATTGTTCAGCTCATTCACCTCGCGCCGCGCTGCATCTCTCTCAGATTCGACCATATCAATATGTTTCCGCAACGCCTCTATCTCTTGGGCGTCGTATCTAGCAGCAATAGTTAGCTGGTTCACCTCATAGTGCGCTGCATCTCTCTGAGATTCAGCATCTTTTACTCTGGCCTCCAACTCTCTGACTTGGTCAATGATATCCATCAGCATGTCGGTTCTGTGAATTCCAGCCCTCGAAAGCTCCTCCATGAGCGCATCAATTGCAGCTATCACCAGATTGCTATCTCCTGTGCGCGGAGGTGATTGAGCCGGGCTGGCGTTGTCGTGACTGCTTCCACGGCGCGCGCCAAATTGGTTCGTGGCAGTCGCTCCGGGATCGTCTCCATCATCAGCTGGTGGGATACCGCGGTACGGATAGCCAGCTAGGATGGTGGAATGTTGCCACCACGCAGGAGTGAATATGTGCGCATATTCGGGAGCACCCAGAAGAGGACAAAGTCTGCCAATATGGGCGTTCGGTTTTTGACACAGCCGGCAGAATCCCGTGCATTTCCAGAAAAACTGCTTATGTATGGCAGATTTGTTGTTGCGTCCGCACCGCACACAGCTCTTAGTGGATGTGCGTCCAAACATCGTTGCGGAATCCTCCAGGCGCCTGGTAGTTTGATTCATGCGCTCTTGCGCGGGTGATCTACCCGGCGCTGACCGTTGGTGATAGGAGAAGTCGGGAGGAGTAAAAGAATCCATTGCGGTTACAATCTATTATGATTGCTGTCCGTGGTAGGAGGAAGAAAGGTGAGAGAAAGAGATAAGAAGAGGCAATGGGAGGGGAGAGCAGGAAGAGAGGAGAGCGAAGGTGGGGATAGATGTACGATTTGTGTTTGCCAAGACTTTTCCGCATGGCGAGAGAGCCCTATACTTCGCTTTATTTTTTTTCCTCTTTCAATTGCCGTAATTGTTAGTGTTGATGGCCTTCATTGTTGTTATCATCTCAGTGTTGTTCTTCCTTTCTCACCTGTTCTCCCACCTCCCACCTTCAGAAGGGAAGGTATTTTTAAGGAAGCGTTCCCTTTTTCTAGACTTTATGATTCTCTAGCTTTTAAATGGGACATTGCAATAAGTGAGTGATCCTTATGTTAATTCAACCTTCTGTATCTTCGGTAACGGAAGCTAAGTCCGCGCTGATGGTTCGAACCGCAAGACGGTATGAACACTTGAAGCATTAACAATTCTCGCAATGAAGGCATCGCAATATAGCATAATTGTACAAATCAACCACTCCATATGGTGTGTCTACCTACTAAGTGCCCCCGTGATTGATTAGTTCTAAGTAGTGGACTTTTTTTGACAAGCCCCCAAATGTAAGATGGTGATATTGGAAATTCATAGAAATTCCGCAGCCTGCTCCTAATCAGCCGGATTCCTTAAGGCTGACACATCTTAAGCTGCAGGCACCAGTTCTTGAACTCAGTGCCCAGGATTGGACCGAATCTTCTCCTGCACCTCGTCACAATCCATAGTGCTGCAGCTGCATTGTTAGGAAGAGCACAATTAGAAAAAAAGCTCACCGGTCCTATTTCGGTACCACAAAAGGAAAACTTCCGAAATGCAAGATCCCTACCGAAGGATTCTGGGTCGTAAGATTCGAGGCTCTCAGCCTCGTTTTACCCCGGACCATATGAGCTCGCTTAATCATGATATATTGGATTTTTGAAGCAGGTCCCACGATTACATATTGCTTTCTCGATGTTTGCCTAGAAAAAATGGAAGAGCACCGCGTTGATAGTATTGGATAACATTCAAATTAGGTAGCCATTTTGACTAGGGGAATGGATTTTAGAAGTATAAAAGCGCTGATGGTTTGAACTTTTTCTCTACAGCTACAACTGAAAAGCATTTGAGCATAATTCTCATTTTCTAATCTTTAATACTCAGAGCCATGACTCCTAAAATGATCATTACCACTATCCTCCTATCACTTTCTACCATCGTGGCAGCACACCCAGGTTTCCAATTACGTGCCGTGAACAGCACAATTATCATCTCCGACCCAACGCGCACCACTGCTACACCATCTCCAACAGGCAATGGCATCACTACTCCTCTGCCCACTCAGTCCGGCATGGTCAGCAACTGCAACACGTTTTACAAAGTAGTCAGTGGCGACACATGCCAATCCGTGCTCAGCAAGCACAACCTGTCATTCACGCAGCTGCGAGCGTGGAATGCTGGGATTGGAGATAATTGCCAGTTTCTCCTCCTGAACACAAACTACTGTGTTGGTGTTATCGGAGGTACGACAACCACAGTGGCGCCCACACCTACTAATGGCATTTCCACTCCTTTGCCAACTCAATCTGGCCTTGTGGACAACTGCGACAAGTTTTATCGAGCCAGGCCCGGGGAGACGTGTGCAGACATTGTCAGAAAGATTGCAGGGAACGGCATCACGCTTGCTGATTTCCTCAGGTGGAACCCGGGGGTTGGACCGGAGTGTAGGTCGATGCTGGCGGATACATATCAGTGTGTTCGTGTCATTGGGTTCACGCGTCCACCAACGACTACGACTGGGAATGGTGTTACAACCCCGCTGCCTACGCAGACAGGAATGGTGGGTAATTGCAACAAGTTCGAGTTCGTTGATGCGGGCGAGGATTGCGGGACTATTTCACAGAAGTATGGGATCAGCCTTGAGGACTTCAAGAAGTGGAACTCAGGGGCGACAATCAACGGTTGCACGGAGATGTGGGCAAACACGTATGTTTGTGTTGGCATATTCTGAGAAGCTTAGGGACGGAGTAATGCAGATTCGAATGAAAGGACGATCGCTCATAATGGCGTTAGGTGTAGGGCGCGGGATCAACAATTGTCTCTCATGATAACAAAGCAATCCTCAAATTTGCATTGCATATCTTCTATCTCCTCACAATGTTAATATCTAGATCTGCGTTTCATGTCTACTGGTCAGAGTTAAAATCACTTGAGCAATTTGCACGGACTCCTGCTTCAATCACAGTAGCATAGCTTAGACCTAACAGGCGTGCGGTAAAATCTTCAATTATTGATGCTATCAATGTGCTTTATAATTAAATCATCTACTGTAGGCAATAGCATCACGGCCTTTCTACCCACTTAGTCTACTTTTACGAGATCGCCGGACCGTTCACGAGTCCAGCCTTCAGGGATGATCTCTTTGACAATGCGCAATGATAGATGGTCGCCACCAACTCTATGTTCAGCACCGAACAGTCTCATCCCAAATTTTCTCTCTCTATAATTAGTGGGCTGCCTTTTCCGTGGATGTTCCGCCTGCCATTGCCTAGGTGTTATGATTGGTAATCCGAAATCCTTCGAACTGTCGGCATCGATGTATCGACCTTTGGCATTTCGTGGTAACCTCGACCCATTTCCCGTGGTTTCCCATTGTGCACATTCTGCATGCTTCACCATGTTATCGACACTCGCCATCATCTCTCGGCCATCAGGTAAGCGGAAAATAAAAGGATTGGAAAGGTACTCCAAGTAATGTCGACAGGTACGAAAAAGAACCATTTCATACGGTATTGCCCACGTTTCCTTCGCAACAATATCAGCGTGAATCAGGGTTTGGTGGTCTCCACTCTCGTGAGGTACATGGGATACGGAATTGGGGGAGTCGATTGCATATATTCGAGTCCCCTGGAGGTATTGCGAATTTTTCAAAAGAAGCTGTCCCATCCCAAAAGTGACAGATGTCCACGGGGAAGGGTATCCCCAGCCACGGTATACCTCCCACTCTTTCCAGTCTTCTTGACCACACTTTTGCAAGGTGCCTCCCGACGAGTCCATGCAATTGACGACAAGTGAACGCAGCGATGTGGTTTCTATTGGCAAAAATTCGCCGTTGCCATCATTGGAAGCTGGCCCATCCTCAGTGGCGTGTAAGGTCTTTCTAGTCCCGAACATAGAGGAACACATTGCACCCATCCTCACACGCACATACTTCATCCTGGGTAGTATCTGGCGAATAGAGTCGCAAACATGTAATTGCTCGCTTTGAGTTCGACTGTCGCGACCGAGTGTGTCAACCTCCAAGTTTACGCAGCTTTCCGGCAGTGCGTTGATAATCTGGACGAGAAGGTGTCGAGGAAGTACACAGTCCATATCTCGTGTAACACATAGAGAGTATGATAGTAGTCCGCTCAAGATTGGCAATATTGATACGAGTCGAGTTAGAGGCGGTACGAATGTAGATAGCTTCTCTTTCTTAAAAAATATTAAATCCTTGGCGCCGCCATCTCCCATGTGAATCGTCAGAGATCGAATATGGCGGCCGTGTCGTGAAACATCTGCGCACTGAAGAAAGCTCTCTAGTTTGTTATGCTTGGTGAAGGCGATGTGTTTGTAAAATTCTGGGACAGCGAGTTGATGCCATAACCTGCACACGGTGAGTACGTTGGTACGAGTAGGGCTGGAATCATTAATGACTTCGCTTAGGATTTGGATCAGAACCTCATTAGGTAAGTCATCCACAAAGACGGATTGTTTCCGAGAGAGGAAGTTCCAAATTCCCATACTGTCGATTTCCAAGCCAGAGTTGCAAAAGTAGGAAGAAAGGTTGAATAAACGAAAGTAAATCAAGGTAAATTTAGGTACCTTTATGTACGGTGGAAGGTGTATAGGGAGATGGTCTGTGTGTGTGTGTATGTTTCGTGATAAGAGTGAAGTTCATTAAGTGAAAGAGTAAAGTTCACCAATAGAAAGATAAAGTTCACTAATAAAAGGACAAAGTTCACTAGGTGAAAGGCAAGTCAACATCGACTTAATTGGCAGAGGATCGAGTAAACCAGAAGTGAGAATATTAGTTGTATTATCCTTAGGGGTCAAATTGTGTGAAGCGGAGTGAAGCCAGCATCCTTATATTACTCGATCAATTACATCACGTGCTAAATCCCTAATACTAAAGTGGCATGGCTGTTCGAAAAGTGCTTTGAGAATGTCCTGCAGAGATGGCAGCTTTCAAGGCCTCCACCGGAAAGCAGGATGTCTCCAATCTAGATCCTGCACTTGCTGTGTCGTCAATCCTTCCAATTCTTGCTCCACGTTCTTCTGCTTCCTGCGGTGATTGCTTGCCTTCATCCAGAATAACAGCGCAACGCTGGAAAGCAAGACGACAGAGCTCGTGGCCAGGTTGAGTCCATTGCCGATAGGGAAGTTGGGCGCATCGGCTGGAAGGAAGCTCCAAGTCGAAATGAGACCGCCAATGTTTCCGAACATGACGTTGGTGCCGATAGCAGAAGCGCGCGCAGTGTCGGAAACAACGTTTGCAGACACTTGGGCGTTACAAAGTGCACCGAACGAGAAAGCGCCCGAAGCGATGATAAATGTGGCTCCGTAGCGGACTTGCGTAGATGTAGTGGCGAGGAACATGATGTAGCCGGCCATCATCAGAGGAGCGGAGGCAATCATGAAGATGAGGCGACGATCGAAACGCCAAGAGAGGAACGGGAGCAGGACGGTGAAGAATGCGCCAACAATGTACGGTGGTACTGTGTGGAGCTGTTGCGAGATCACGGAGTCCTTGGGATAGATCGTCCTGACGATTGTTGGAGCAAAGAAAGCAAGACCTTGGACGGTGATGTTGTCGAGGAGGAAAATGAAGGAGGTTGCCAGGGTAGAAGGGTTGATGATGCCTCGAAGAGTCTTGGTCCAGTCAATCTTGTCGAGGACTTCGGTGGTTCCAACACGCTCAGACTTGACACGGGCAATTGCAAGGTCCTTCTCTTCCTGTGTAAGCCATCGTGCAGTTTCTGGTCGGTCGGTGAGGGTGACAAAAGATATCAAGGCCAGGATGCAGGTGATGATGCCTTCAATGGCGAAAATCATGCGCCAGCGAGTGAGGCTTCCAAAGCTATCCAACTTCAGAATGGCAGATGCCAAAAGACCACCGAAAGCACCGGCCAAAGGCGCCATGACGATATAAAGCGAAAGACGGAATGCAAGCTCGGAACGGCGGTACCAACGGGACATGTAGTAGGCGATTCCGGGAAGCATACCGGCCTCAAAAACACCCAGGATGAAACGAACACCACAGACGGCATGGATGTCGTGAACGAAAGCCGTGCCGATCGAACTGATTCCGAATCCCAAACTGGTGATAGGAATGAACCAACCTAGACGCAATCAGTATTCGCACATGGAGAGAAGACCGCTAGCAACTTACCCGGTCCCATATATTTGCAGAGCATATTGGCGGGAATTTCCATAACGATGTAAGAGATATAGAAAACGGAAAGGACGGTGTTGTAATCGTATCCCTTCAATTTGAGGTCCTTTTCCAGTCCCGCCAATCTAGCATTGCCTGGTAATGGTTAGCGAATGCTTACTGGATCCAACACGACACCAGGGGAACCGAATGCTACCCCCACACAGTGAGAAAATACATACCAATATTTGCTCGATCAATGAAGCAGAATAGATAAAGCAGTGCGACAGTCGGGACGATGTAGAGATCGATCTTCCATCGGAGACGTGATTCGGCCTTAGGATCGAACGTTATGAGTGAATTGCCCTGACTGGAAACATAATTAGCATCAGAGACCAGGGAATGAGAGAATGTATGGGGCGGAGTGGGACGTACGCATCTGTTGCCACATGGCCGCGCTCTGCCGCGTTGTGGGCATCATCGTTCTTCATGTGTTCCGAGTGGTTCACGGTGTATTTCTCGTCACCAGAGAGCTCCGCGTTACTCATCGCAGCCATGTTAGGAATGACTGTCAAAGAAGAGCAGACGATAATCGAAAGACTTTGAAGGATGCGACGAACTAGGAGGGTGGAGGAGGGCAACTCGTTTCGCGATGCTCTTCTGGTACTTATAGATTAGGAGCTACCCCAGACTCTGGATCCGAAAACGCGTCGGCTTCATGCGATCCAGTCACGGAAGACGCCCTCGAGTTGGGCGCAGCGTGGGGAATCATAGCGGCCAAGTACGAGCGAGACCATCCAAGGACTAGCAGACTGACTCGAAGGATAATAGCGATGCATGTGATTGGCGAGTAATCAACAATGAACGAAGCTCGGCACGCTTGCCTGTGGAGAGCTCTCCGCACCCCCAGATCAGCCATAAAACACAGAGGCAGCGATAGCGGGTGCTCAACCCCGGCACCTACTCGATTGAACTTGCCCACTTCCGTCGTCGGATGGTGAAGACGGTTGTTGTTATCGACGAAACTCATATATTTCTCTCCCTTCCTCCAGCTAGCCTTACCCTCTCCCCGCATTTCGCGTCGCACACGATCACATAAGGGGCTTCTTGGAAGTCTGGAGCAACGTGATGCGATGGGTTGGTGCGCTAAAGAACCGACTGACCATAATAGCCATCTCATGGTTGGACGACGCAGTCTAGAATTCCATCGGAAAGGGGGTACGGTACCTGGGAGAGTGAAGTGCACGGTGAGTAAATGGCGATTTCCGGTAAGGTCTAGAGCGATGCCACACCAGCCCCAGATGACGGGTGCTGCACACACGAATTGGCTGCATAATATCTCCCAACGACCTGGTTCATTCAGCCCGACTAATCTTCGTGGCAGAACGTTGATCCCCTTAAGATTATCACAAGATCGTGGGTAAAGTAAAACCTCTGGTCTCAAAACAATGTGTTTCTGGTGACTATTTCATTTGGTGTCTTGGTAGACAAGATGAAAAGAAGGCCACGGAGCGTGGCAGTGCGGCCCCAAGGCAAATAGCCAATCACTAGCGATTTGGTCGAGGATTGTTCAAGTTGGATATTTGCCGTAACCTTCTTCCGCCCTTGCAACACTCTTGAACTAACAACGCAACAATGACTTTCAAATTGTTGACCGAGGTAGGCGACATCATTTCCTTTCGAACTGCTCCTTCCTGATATGCAAACAATGCAAATGTCTTCATAGACCTGCGGGTCCGCGGATATCCAAAGGTTGCAGGCTATCCGTTCACTTGCCGATCGATTATCCGTACTTTGAGACTGGAGTGTCATGTCGTCTGAAAAGCGTGAGAATTTCAAATCACCTTATTCAGCTTACTTCATCTCGGCCGTGCATTGGTCATCCCCTGAATTGTCTCCTCCTGACGCGTCCTATATTGAAACCAGTTTCTTCCTTCTTTGAATCAGCCAGAGAGCAAGCATGAATGCACTGGCGGCAAGATACGCCAGACCAGTGAATACTTGAGGATAAAGATATGGCTTGTCTGCATCAGGCTTTTTTATATTCAATGCAATGACCATTGCAAAAGTCGTTGGAAGAATTGCTGTACCAAATGAAAGCGCGAGTAGTGACGGGAGCTCTATCAGACCTCCTACCTCGACACAGAGGGGGCTCAGTGCCTGCATTGCAAAGTGTCAGAGTTGATACAGGTGATGAACGAAGGCAAGCAACTTACCATCCAGTATGTGCCCGCCACCATACCATTGATGAGAGCAAACACAACAGTCACCGCGTACGAAGCAGCCGGCACCCAGAGAGCCCAGATAGCAACGCCGCAAGCGAAGGTTGCAATCCCGGCCACTTTCATCCTCCCATAACGATCACTCAGTACCCCGAGCGCCGGCCTACCGATCAACGTTCCAAGGTTCATCAGAGCGGTGACAGAGGATGCCTGAGACTTGGACAACCCTATTGAACGTGCAAAGTCGGAGAGCGAGTACAACAACACCATATAACCAAGCATGGAGAAGAAGCCCCAACAGAGGAGCAGGATGACTGGGAGGCGGCGTAGCAGATGGAAAGCAAAAGGATTCATCGTCGGCTGGATGACCTTGTTTCTGTTACGAATGAAACAGGTAGCAAGGAGGTTCATAGTGCCAGCCATGATACCAATAATACGTAGCGACCATGCCAGAGACAGACGATCAATCATTGGTTGAGTGGAGAATGATATGATGAGACCACCGATACCAGTACCGGCGGAGTTGATTGAATTGGCAAGTGAGCGCTTCTTATCAAACCATTGCGAGGTCACAGCAACGCTGGGCGTAAACAGAAAGCCCACTCCAATGCCGAGTAGAATGCCCTGTGTGCAATATAAATGCCAGATCCTCGTGGAGAAACTAGCCGCTATGTAACCACCCATCTGGATGAGTGCTCCGACAGCCATAGGAATGTGTGTTCCAAAGATTCTGACGAGATACGTGACTGGAGATGCCATAATCATGGCAACTCCAAAGTTAAGCCCACCGATGTAAGCATAGTCCAAAGGCGTGGCTTCAGGATAAATGTCGTTTGCTAGATAGTAGGCGAGGTATACACCGTAGCTTCCAAACACACCCCAGGTGAATGAGTTCACAGTCGTTACGCAGGCGACGCATACCCAGCCATAGCCGCCATCTGGTATTTGGTGCTCATTTGATTCTTCGACAACAGCTGGTACCACAAGTTCCCCCGTCTTTGGAGCAATGAGCCCCTCGATTTGTTTGTCGGTCATGATCGAGGCTATTGTCTATGGTCGCTTTTGAGACACCAAAGCAGATGGACGACGAGTTACTGCGTTTTCCTTCGGATGCAAATCGCGAGAATTCCTAGTCAAATTTTGAAAGGCTGTTTATGCAACCAAAGATTTTAATGACTGTTGATTTTTCGTTTTCGATTCCGAACCTTATCCACGTGCGGGGAAATGAGATGAAAGATGCGGGTTCTTACTCGCCAGAGATCAATGCCCATGTCCCGCCAATCGATATCAGTGTTGCATGGAAGTGAGTTACCAGTCTCGGGAGCATCGAGTTGAAGATGAAGAGAATGTAAGAAAAGACGACGACATTTTATAGAACATATATATGCGAAAAACGTAATACTTGGCCCATTCGGAGTGACTTGGTGTGGGTTAACCACCTATTTCGGAATGAATTGACAAAATTACGGCATTTCGGATACAGAGATGCGCGCCCGGAAAAGCCGTCCATTTGTAAGACCAGGGAATAGAAAAAACCTGGGGATTTCGAGAGAGCACACCATACTGAATAGGTAGGTAGGTAAAGAGCTATCCGATGTCGCTATGTAATTGCTTCGACCCGCTAGGCTTGCATGCATCGTCGACGTCGGAGCTCATGTTACGATGGTATGTTCGAATCATCCCTCATCCACGCGCAATTGGATGGACGTCGAAAACGCCAGTATGCGATGGAACGAGATAAATTGCATGATGAACAGACTTAAACGATTTCAAAGCCCAGCCAAGTCATCGAAATTTAGTTAAGACAAAACGCGAGCAACAAAGCTAAACCCCTTTGGTCGACCTCGGTAGTCGGTACCCCGCGAGTCAATCGTCATCCTGTTCACCCATACTTTATCAATGAATAATTGAAGATGACTTGCTTGTTATCTTTATATTTACGGCTTCAATCGCCATTTAGACCTTACTCAATTTCTCCTGGATTCATTACTTGAGCGAATTCCTTCCCAATAACACCAAAGAACACGACAAAATGCCTTCCGCGATCACGATCAAGCAAGTTCCCGGCAAACCAGGACAAGTGTATTATCCTCTCGAAAAGATAACACTCCCCGAGCCCAAGCCCTCAGAGAACCAGGTCAGCATGGAAACCCGTTCTCGAAATCCCTCATCTGACTCCTTCTAGGTCGTCGTCTCCATCTCCGCTGCAGCCCTCAACCACCGCGACCTCTTCATCCGTCAACACCTCTACCCCGGCACAACCTTCGGCGTTCCTCTCCTCGCAGATGGCGTTGGCGTCGTCACCTCCGCTGGATCCTCACCCAGCGCCCAACAATGGCTCAACAAGCGCGTAATTCTGAACCCAGGCACCGGGTGGAAGGACTCGCTTGACGGACCCGAACACCCCAAGGGCTACGCGATTCTTGGTGGAACGAAGACGAATCCCGCGGGGACACTCGCCGAGAAAGTTCTGATAGAAGCTTCCGAGCTTGAAGAGGCGCCGAAGGGATTGAGCGATGCGGAAGCAGCTGCGCTGCCTCTCACAGGCCTAACGGCATGGAGAGCGTTCTTCGTAAAGACAGGAAATGCCAAACCCGGTTACAATATTCTGATCACTGGAATTGGTGGCGGCGTGGCGTTGATGACGCTTCTGTTTGCGGTCGCGCAGGGTTGCAATGTTTATGTCACAAGTGGAAGTGAGGAAAAGATTCAAAAAGCGAAAGCGCTGGGAGCTGCTGGCGGCGTGAATTATAAAGAACAGGGCTGGGAGAAGAAGCTGCAAGGACTATTGCCCCAGAACAGAAAATACCTCGATGCTATCGTTGACGGCGCCGGTGGCGACGTGGTATCGAAGGGCATGAAGTTGTTAAAGGTATGGATATCTTCTCCGTTGTGCCTAATAACTTAAACTAACTAATTCTAGGCCGGTGGCGTAATCTCTGTCTACGGAATGACTATATCACCAAAGATGGACTTCCTTATGGGTGCTGTGCTACGCAACATTGAAGTCAAGGGCTCGACAATGGGGTCGCGAAAGGAATTCGCCGAGATGGTCGATTTTGTGAACAAGAAGAACCTCAAACCTGTGGTATCGAGGGTGGTCAATGGTCTTGACCTCGCAGCCATCGATACTTTATTCGATGATATGAAGAACGCCAGCCAATTCGGCAAACTGGTCGTCCAGATTGACAACGGCTCCTCATCGAGTAAGTTGTAGGAGGCCAAGATAGATAGTAAATGTATGAACATGATATGACAGTCAACAATATAAGTTACTTTTTTGGTTGCTACAGAACTCAACTCATTCCCAACGCGTCTCTACGTCCACATGAGGAATTGATCCTCTGACTTTTGATCTCCGCATACATAATTGACACCGAACTCACTGTAGCCTCTTTCCGTCTGACTCCATGAATGTCCTATCGATCGGGTATATTTTTACCCACCAGGCAGTGCACACGATTTACTCGTCGTGCGTATATCCCATCGTGCTCTCACAGTTGTTTCCCGAGCCAACGCATTCCCACAATTCTTCGTGTGTAGCGATAGCAACCCGATGCGATGTCCACCGAACCACTTCATTCTACCGGCAAGTGTGAGGGAGGAGTTTGTCGATGGCCTAGTTTAGCATCGTCAACTGATGACGAAGTTCCCACTCTGACCTCGCGGAGGATAGGCGTTCCAGAGCATGTTTTTTATAGAGGTTGTCTCCTCTTCTGTTTTTTTTGCATAAGAGGTTATCTCCTCTTGCGTTTTTTTGCATAAGAGGTTGTCTCCTCTTGTGTTTTTTTGCAAGAGAGGTTGTCTCCTCTCCTCGTGGTGTCATAGCACGGACTCCATTGTGGTCGAGCTAGCAACGGAAGCACCACGATCACCGGCAAGTGAGGGTGAAAGCTTTCCATGTGTCGCAGCTTCAACCGTGTCATATAACCTTGCCTCCCGGATGGTTTTCACCCCGGCATACTCGAGGCAAGGTTCGCCCAGCTCAATTTTCTGCTGTCCAGCTCATTTTCTGCTGTCCAGCTCATTTTCTGCTGTCCAGCTCATTTTCTGCTGTCCAGCTCATTTGCTGCTGTCCAGTTCCATTTGCTGCTGTCCAGCTCTTCGTGCTGCTGTCCAGCTCATCGCACTGCCGTCCAGCTCATCGCACTGCTGTCCAGCTCAAATACTGCTGTCCAGCTCAAATACTGCTGTCCAGCTTGTGATGCTGATGTCCAGCTCTTTATGATACTCTACAGCTCTTGATGCTGCTCTACAGCTCTTGCTGCTGCTCTACAGCTCTTGATGCTGCTCTACAGCTCTTGATGCTGCTGTCAAGTTCGATTACTGCTGTCCAGCTCAATTACTGCTGTCCAGCCTTTCTCCAGTCCCGACCATGCACTCCATGGCCGAAATGGATGATCACGCCTTCCGGGTCCATCACTAACCCGGCGTGTCGTCGAATTTCCCAGAAGAACGCCGTTGCCCTCTCAGAGGGCTTTTGCCAAAGGCTCGGCTCGGGTATAGCCGCATGAGCCTGAGAACAGCGATTAGCAGTGGAAAAAGTGAAGTTGATGGGTCACATACCTTTTTGAGCGGCGTCCTTGGGGGAGAAAAGAAGAGGGAGTGGAGGAGCTGGGGCGGACAACTTCACTTGACACAAACAGCTGGTCTGTGCGTCGACCATGGCGACGCGCTCAGGCCAGCTCGCACTCAATCGAATGACGTAGAATTTGGTGGAAAGATTCTTTTGGGGTGGATACGTGATGGGATCGTGGGTATCTGAGTCCCAAGGCTCTAAGCAAGTCCTGTGTAGTCATGAAAATAGATTCGCCTATGCGGGCCTATGAGGCAGAAAGGTTAAGCATAAGATTTAGAAGAAAGACGTGTAGCTACAATTAGTAACTCTATAATAACACCGGGAATAGCTATAGCGAAAAGTATGAACCATTCAGAGAGCATCAAAGAAAGTATTGATATTCCAGACATCTACAGTTCTGTCTGAATAGGCCCTTTAAGCTCGTACCCGTGGTTACAATCTTGCTCTGCCCATGGATACCTAACTATGTCAGATAGTCACAAATGAATGGACGGTTTGGTAGCTCTTGGGTGAAGGGGTAGAGTTTTCTCCACGTATCGGCTATGTCTTAGAGTGCCTGGTGCAAGAATCACGATAGATCTAGTACGATATTTTGAGGTTACAACCAACCCATGCACATTTCATTGATGGTTGCTTGCTCTGCTCGACGGATGATTTGGTTAGTGTTCTGCTCCGACATCGTAAGTAATCCGATGCTTGGATCGCAAAGCCGGGCAAACCCCAGAGTAGCACTTGGCATAGCTCTTCAACCTCTTCAACCTCATGATAACAACCACTCCTCTCAAACAGTTACCAATACGGCCGGAGAGACCTGCCAGTCCCCACAACGATCGTTCGAAGCTAGTGCTTGACGTGACTGAATCAGATTGCTCGCCTTCAATTGTGTTCCTACCCCCTTTCGCCAAGTTCAATCATTCCAGTGTATATGCCCGACCGACGACGGAAAATCGCTATTTGGTGCAATGGTCAGTCGCACATGCAGGCAGTGACCTGGACTCGAGGAAGAGATAGTAGTAGAGGAACCTCTATTGTGCGAAGTGGGATTGGTCCATCGAAATCTGTACACCATCTCGTAGTCAGTCACAATCAAGCGCGGAGACATACTCAGCTCGTAATGCTATCAATTTTTGCACTCAAACGATGAGTGCTTCAGATGCTTGTCGGTGGCCTAGTTTAGCATCGCAAGCTCCTTTTGCAAGGAAGCTCGCGAAGTTCCCACTCTGACCTCGCGGAGGATAGGCATTCCAGAGCATGTTTTTTTATAGAGGTTGTCTCCTCTTCAATTGTTCTCTTTTTTGCTTAAGAGGTTGTCTCCTCTTCTGTTTCTTTGCATAAGAGGGTTTCTCCTCTTAGTTTTTTTGGCTTAAGAGGTTTTCTCCTCTCAGTTTTTTTGCATAAGAGGTTTCCTCCTCTCAGTTTTTTTGCATAAGAGGTTTCCTCCTCTCAGTTTTTTTGCATAAGAGGTTTCCTCCTCTCAGTTTGGCCGACCGATGCTTCTTTCTAAGCATGGACGCCTGCGGCTATTTCGCGACGGGACCCCAATCATCCGCAGGTTCGGATGAGGGCATTGTGTGAGTCGCATCTTTGTCCGCTTCATTGAGTCCCGTGTAGGGCTCACAATAGACCTTGCCTCCCGGATGTGTGTCACACCGGCATGTTGCGAGGTGACGTTGACCAGATGATGTCCAGTCTTCGTCTGGCCTTGACCACCACGTAGGCAATCGAAATGGAAAATATCACCTCCCTGATGGGGTGAGGCGATATTGACCGATCGCTCACTCTCTGTTACATTGCCACTGCCCCGTTCAGAGAGCATGTAGCTTTGCAACGTTTGGGAGGCTCATACAAACAGGGTTCCGTAGAACCGCACTTGTTAGAGCGGAGCATGCAGGCATTTCGCCCGCAAGAACGCCGTTGCCCTTTGTGAGGGCGTCTCGCAAAGGTACAGCTCGGGTAAGAGCCGTATCATCCTGAAAACACCATAGATAAGCAGCAATTAGCAACGGGAAAGTGAAGTTTGTGGGTTACATACCTTTTTGAGCGACGTTCTTGAAGAGGGAAAGAGACGAAGGAGCTTGGGCAAACACCTTTGCTTCACGCACGCGAACGACTGGTCCGTGCGTCGACCACGGAGACGCACTCAGACCTCCGGCTCGCACTTGAATGGTGAATAGATGAAGTCGAAAACGGCGAAGCAATAGAAAGATTTACCTCCAGGTGGCAGGTGAAAGATGGTTACGGGATTGAGGTAATCCAAGCCCAAAGGTTTCAAGCAAATGCTGTGTAGCCCGTAAAATGAGTTCTCTCTGCGGTGACGATGTACGCTCAACGCTTCAGCTTGAGCACCTCTATTAGTAGGACAATTCCATGAGATTGAATTACCTGACAGTTCAGTATCAAAATCAAGAACAATGGTTCGTTGTTGTGGCATCGTGCTGCAGTTGCAGATGTCTACATTAAGATAGCTTTAAACACTCGTAGGATCTCTAGAGAAGGGTAAAGTTAAAGGGTCTTTTAACAAAATAAGCTAAGGCTTACCCTAATCTAATTAAATATACAATTGCTAACTTAAAAAAAAGGTAACAGGGTTACTCCTGTAACAAAGAAGGCTACTAAATCTCAACATCTACTCGGACTTTACATTGAATATCCTCCAGGAAAAACTACGAGAAGGCCTGTAACTATAATGTGCTTAGTTATTGCGCATTTACATTATCGCAACGTCACCTCACGATTGCAACGAAGCACTGTAAACAATTTTGAACTTTTTTGAATTCAGGAAAGCTGTAAGAGCAACCTTGAGTCTATTAAGTGTCTACGAGGTATCAAATCATTAACTCCGAGTCATGATCACCGATTTTTTCTATCCATCATTTTCTTTGCTGGATTGATTCATTTCCACCCAAACTCGTTGCCAAATCTGTTCATAAGGACATCGAACGAGCAATTTAGTCGTCCTCATCAGAGAAGACCTCCTCACCACGCTTGCGGCGGGCCATACGGTCCTTCTTCTTCTTCCTCATCTCGGATGAAGTCAACTTCTTCTGTAGGATAGTTAGCGCAATTCTGAGTGGGTTTGTGGATTTAAACTGACCTTCTTTGTCTGGGAAGCAACCTTGTTACCTATTTTTTAAGTTAGCAATTGTATATTTAATTAGATTAGGGACTGCACTGACCCATCGCATCGAACGTCTCCTCTTCCTCGCCCTTCTCCGCAAGTCTGGGACCTGCTCCTTGACCCTGAACCCAGTTGTGACCGGAGGGAGTCATCTTTCCATCGACAACAGCCCAAACTTCCTCAGTCAAGTCCTTGGTGAACTCGGCAGAGTGAGTGATGATGATGACACCACCTTCGAAGGACTTGATAGCCTTGGACAAGGCACCGAGAGAGTCACGGTCGAGGTAGTTGGTGGGCTCGTCAAGGACGATCAAATGAGGTCGCTGCCACGAGCAAGCGGCGAGGACGACCTTGACACGCTGACCACCGGAGAGACCACGCATGCGGGAGTGGGAAACCAATTCAGCATCGAGACCGAAGTTGGCGCAGTGGGACTCGATCTCCTTGCGGACAAGGGGACGGAACTGACCACTGGCAAGAGCCTCCTTCTGATCGACCTCAGCCACCATCTTGGCGTGAGAGGCAAGGATCTCGCTACGAGGAATCCAGGCGTTGTCGGCAGTCATCATAGGAGTCCACCTCTCGTTCTTCATGCCGACGTTCTCTCCGAGAGCGAACGAGCACTCGTACTCGTAAGAGTTCTTGAACTTTCTGCGGGAGGAGATACCAATGACACGACGCTGGGTACCCTCAATCTTGTAGATCTTGTCCATGGCCTTCTCGTCCTCCTCGGTGACGATCTTGTTGGCACGGTCCATGGTCTCACGATCCTCACCAGTCTGGAAACGCCACTGGATGTACTCGGAAGGAGTCTTGTCCAAGTGGTGATCGATGTGGGCAAAAGCGTGCTGCTTGATGTAGGCAATACGGATGTTCTCGTGCTGGTAGACTTCACCGGAGGTGGGGATAAGTTCACCAGTCAAGACGTTGACGAGGGTGGACTTTCCGGCACCGTTGGGGCCGATGACAGCAATACGAGATCCGAGCGAGCACTGGAAGGTGATGTCGGAGATCTGGGGCTTGGAGGTTCCGGGGTACTGGAAGGTCATGTTGGAGACACGGACGATGGCCTTGGCCTTGGTCTTGACACCCTCCAAGAAACCGGGCTCAGGGAACTTGAACTCCATGTCGGAGGCAGAGAGCTCGTGGTAAGATTTGGCAGATGGCACACGCTTGACGAACTCGCTCAAGTTACCGCGGTAACGCTTGAGCTTGAAGCGCTCGTAGTGGATGACGTGCTGAATGACGTTGTCCAAGAACTTGCTGTCGTGAGAGATGATGATGGATGTGCAAGGAGAGCTGACAAGGTAGTCCTCGAGCCACTTGACGTTCTTGACGTCCAAATGGTTGGTGGGCTCGTCAAGAAGGAGAATATCGGGCTCTTCGAAGACAGCACGGGCAAGAGCGAGCTTCATCTTCCAACCACCAGACAAGGCAGTGATGGGGCCAGTGAGCTGGTCGGCGGCAAAGCCGAAGCTGACGAGGGTCTCCTCGACCTCGGGCTGGGGCTTGTTGATGCCGACAGATGCGAGCTTCTTCATGGTCCACTCGATGACGGTCTGCTCGGTATCGGCAGAGTCGAGATCGTGCTCAACGTAGACGGTCTTGACCTCGCTCTGCTTGGGGAAGCCCTCGACCTGCTCGTTGTTGATGGCACGCATGAGGGTGGTCTTTCCGGAACCGTTGGGTCCGAGGAGACCGTAACGCTGACCACGCTTGAGGCGGAGATGGGTCTGGTTGAGCAAGATCTTGGCACCGTAGGCCAAGTTGAATGTGCAGTTGCAGAGGTCCTCGCCCTCCTCCTCATCAGGCTCCTTCTCGTCCGCCATGGCAGCGGCGGGAATGGCGCGCCTGCGGAGGTTGCTGGCAACGTCGTTGGCCTCAGCATCACCAATGAGAGCGGCGATGAAAGGACCGGCGTTGTTCTGCCAGCTGATGGCCTCGTAGTCCTTCTCATCGATGAGCTGACCACCGATGGCACCAATGTAGTCGACAATGGGCTGGAACTTGGCGTCAATCTTGTACTTGTCGGGGGTGACGTCCTTGAGCAAACCGGCAACGGTGGAGATATCACCAGCCTTGGAGATCTCGGGAGCCTTGCCATCCTTGACGGCACCGACACGGATCAGGGTGTCGAGACCCTGGCGGGTCTTCTCACGAGCCTCGGGATCGGCGAGGGTGTCGAAGTTCTTCTCGAGAGCAGGCATCAACTTGGGCAAGAAAGCGGCGACGATCTGGGGATCCTCGACGAGCTTGCACATGTTGTCAACGATGACGGCGGACTTTCGCTTAATGGCAGTCTCACGCTCGACGAGACCACGCTCGAGGAGGGGAACCATGATGGCGAGAGTGGGCTCGTGGACGTCAGTGACGAAAGTGGTGGCACCGAGCAAGTGAACGGTCTCGGGGACGTTCTCAGGCTTAGCGATACACTTGATGAGCTCAGGAATGAAACGCTCAATATCCTTGTTGGAAATGAGAGCGCAGAGCTTCTCCATGGTGGCGTAGGCAGCCTTCTTGACCTCAGGCTTGGTATCCCACATGGCTCCGGAGATGACGGGGATCAAGTCAGGGACACGGAAAGCGAGCTGAGCAGGTGCGCTCTTGCAGAGAACCTCGATGAGCTTGAGGTCGGTCATCTTTTCCGGCCACTTCTGTGCGTTCTCCAACGAGGTGATGAGGTGAGGAATGATTGCCTTGACGGCGTTGGGGTTGGCAGCCTCGACGATGGCCTCGGCGGCGGTCTGGGCGGCGACCTTGACGGAGCTCATCTTGTCACCGACAGCGGCCAGCACGTTCGGCAGAAGGGCAACGAGGAAGGGCTCGACGGCAGGGGAGACGGTGGAGTGCTGGGCAATGGCGCGGATGGCGTCGACCGCACGCTCACGGGCGACGGCATCCTTCTTGTTGCCGAGCTGCTTCTTGACGAGGTCGACGAACCTAGGGAAAAGAAAGTGTCAGTACAAGGATTCATATATTGCTTAGACTGTAGGTAAGGATATCGAAATTGCACATACTTGGTGGGAGCGTCAGCCTCCTCGATATCGCCGTTGATGAAGGTGGCGATGTCATTGGCGGCGGAGTTGATCTCGTCCTGGGCCTGAGAGACGCTCAACTTGGAGAAGAGCTCCTCGAGGACCTTCTGAGACTTGGAGTTCTCGGCCTTGACGGCACTAGCAGAGGGAGCCATTTTTCAGGTCTTGTGCTGTGAATTTTCTTTTTCGGTTTTTGGTGGGGAGTAGATGTTGGGCCTTGAAAAGACAAAGGCACAAAGGGCGGTCAAGTCCTACGAGTAGACGACTCTACTGGCGGGGGTATCAAGGACAGCAGGACGCGAATGAGACTCGCGACACACTCTCTATGCCAAAGACAAGAAACAGAGAAAAGAAAGCCCACGTAAGAGTGAGGAGAGAAAAGATAATGAGGGGAGAGAGAGAGGGTGTGAAAACGGGGTGGGAGGGGCAGACAGAAAACGCTTATATATCCCCAAAGAGTTTCGTTGCAAGCGCACAGAAATTTTTTGTGACAGGGATTAGTCTTAGCTAATACAAAAGAAGACTGATAGCACGGACCACGGACCGCCTTCTCTTTTTTCCGTCTCTCGCCGCCCCTCGCCCCTCCAGCCCACCAACACCAACAATCCTTTTTCGCATCCTCCCCCGTCATCGATACTCTAACTTACTCCGTACTCTACCAACCATCTCGCCGCGAATTATCGTTTCTCCTAATAAATCAGTCGATATCATCTCGTCTCTATGGGAGGACAATAATGAACACACTACTCTGTATTGAAAACTGCTTGCTTTCTTGTCTCAATCACCCACGGTCCAGATCCATATTCAGATCCAGATCCGGTGTCCAGTATTCAATACACCCTATCCTCTGTCTCAAACACTACACCATGCCACCCTCGTCATTGATGGTCAGCCCTTTTTAATTTCTGCAATCTCACACCCGATTCTGTGACCCGTGGCTGTGGGGGTTAATACTCCTTCGCCTGCAACTTCAGTACAGCGCGGCGGTCTGGTCCCTGGAAGAAAGGATGTGTGCATGTGTTTCTGTGTACGTGCAATATCTAATGCAATAATCATGGGCGAAAGAACACAGGAGCCCGCGGCACTTCCAACATTTACTTACGTCCAATTGGTGGGGTTCCGTCCCTGCATTGCGACCTCACCAGTATCGACTATGTTGCGAGTACCACCATACTCCAGCGTAGGTACGGAGTATTACTCGTATGGGCATGTTCAAATTCCCCAGGCTCTCGCAATCGCTGGCCGGGGTTAGCCTCGTTCGTTATCGAGAAGGCGGTCTGCACTCCTGCATCTCAGATCCGCCACAAATAGATCCTGGTTTCGCAACGTGTTTTCGCCGGCATACGGCAGTACCCTTTGTATCACCACTTGCTTCTGTTCCACCGCCAAACAACCACATGCGTTTGTCCCACTGTCTGCCGCTTGTGGATCCTTTGGCAGTACTCCGTATCTAGCATGCACTCTCAGTGGATGTCTTCTTTAGGACCCTCCGCGGGCGTTCCGTGGCAATCTTTCGATTGATACAACATTGCCTGTCTCAACAACTGCCCCGACCAGTCTTTAAATCCCCAGGGCAAGGTTTTTGGAACAATGTACCAGCCTTTCCGCCCTTCACACATTCTGGATGGCGCTACGGTCGCCAACGGACTTTGACTTACTACCCGATGTATTTCCAGACCGGTCGCCCACGTTTTCCAGCACAATCTTGTCCTAGCGAATACTATTCGCCACTCTCCGGCCACTGCAAGCCGGCGTGCTAAACAAGGAGCCAGCGAATGGGCGATGCTTAAATTGTTGCAGAATCTTCCATCAGCCCTGCGCCTTTATTTTTCGGCTCCCGTGTTTGTGCGAATCTTGTAATAGGCTGCCTCTAGCTCGCCAAAAACTGCGGTGAGGATCAAGTCTGTAAAGCCTGCTCACCACAGTACTCGGCCAAATTAGGCTTGGTTCCCGGTCAAGGATCCTACCTTGTAAGCCAGCCACAGAGCGAAGTGCATCCTTAACATACGCAGATCTAGATAACGTCTAGATAATGGAAAAATCAATAACCCTTCATTTACAGTCGTAGAGACGTGGCCAGTCTCTTGGGCGAACGACACCATTTGCTTGATCTATCTCCGTCGCTTTTATGTGTTAAGCACCTTCAGCGGCCATCCCTTGTCAATTAGGGCACAGGTCACAAAACATAGCATGACCACCAGTCGTGTTTTGAGACTTGTCCCCACAAACAACACTTGTTCCTAGGGATTCTCCACAAGGGTAGGGTTCTCCACAGTACGCTTGTATGGATCTATCTCGTCAGCAGGATGACTTGCATAGGAGGCGTTTTTGCGGCGACGCACAACCAGTGCACCCGCCTCATTTGGTCTGTGATGCATTTTCGAGTTTTCCATTATCAAAGCACCTATTGCTCCTCTTCCATATACATTCTATCGTAATCATTGTCTTGGTTGTTGTGTTCGGGGTTTTAGTACTAATCGCGATCCGAAGTCCCAAGTCATTCCTCTCTGGAGGAGAATCTTCTTCCGTCAGGAGTGCATTCTCAGCACCGGAGCTCTTCTCCGGGCCCAACGAGTGGGTATGTTTATGTTTTAGTAGCATTGACTGGTTGGATTCTAATCATGTCGACATCATCGCGCTCCTGTTTCCATACCGGTCCTGTCACATATCAATTGGAATTCAAACGTCCACCTCCAACGGCACACCCACAGAGCAGTAGATCTCAGGGCCTGGCACCGACACACACACGTGGGGACTGAAGCTGAAACTTTTGCAATACCAATGACGTTGAGCGTACACGATCGGCTCTCGCGGTAGCTCTAGCGAGAATGCATTCCAAGGCAACATTCCGTAATGGACATATATCAGTGACCATCGCCGTGACTTCATTTGTTCCGCGGGGTCTGTCTCCATTGTACATTCGTTACGATACTTTCGTTACGGATCATCAATCATGTTGCTCATCTCTAACCGCCGCCCGGCTGTCGTGCTACAGTTCATCTGGCTCATGGGCACACTCCTCGGACACGCCGCCGCTCAAAACAAACCGACCGTTGGATCAACGACTACAAGCAATGTCGGCACCAAAGCAGAATCCGGCATGATATGCGGTCTAAAAGGAAACCATGATACCAATTTGTTGACCTTTTACATGGGAAATTTCTTTTTCGGTGCACCCTTAACATTCGCCTTGTGTGCCGACTGGTGCAAAGCAGACTCCCAAAATTGCAAAGGATTCCGATTCTCTTTTGGAGATACTGGGGATCAGTATTGCGAGTATTTTAAGAGTTCTATGTGAGGGGGAGACACTATCGTCCTACTGAGATTCCTCACACTGAACTTTATTTAGGAATGATGCATTCACCCGCGATGATAGCTCCAATTACTATTACTACGACATAACGTGCCAGGGATTCCCAACCTTCGCCGTGACATCCGCAGCAGCAACTACGACCTCGACGACGACGTCAACGACGACCTCGACCACAACATCTACGACTACCACTGTTTCAACAACGACATCCACAGCAACTTCGACCTCGACCTCGACAACTACCCGGACCTTACCCGCCGTCACTTCAAGCGTGACCATTACAACTACCACCACTCGAACGACCACCCTTCCCGTCGTCACCTCTACCACTACCACAACCGCCGTGAGGAACAACTTCGCCACGACCACCGCCACTTCAACCCAAACCGTCACCCAAGCCGCAAACTTCTACTACTACAGAACGGTGACATCGACAGCAACATCGACAGCAATAGTAGCCAGGACGACGACCACCCAGTTTAGAACGGCCACGGTGGTTAGAACCACCACTCAAACCAGGACAGTCACCGTCCGAGGTTGATCAACCATTTCCACTGAAGCTTCGCCCCCGTCCCCTTCTCTTCCTCTTTCCACCAAGCGTCGCACGGAGGTATCAAGCCGTGTCCCCTTCCTAGACACATCATGGGAACTAGTAGAACGAAAGCAACGTCTCCAGTTCCCCCGAAAGCATGCTTCCTGCATTCACTCATTTCCTTCATTCGTATGTCCCATCACACACAGGAGACGATGGCTTGGGCACTCATCATATCATTATCATTACCATCATTTATCACCGTTATATTCTTATCGTAACCAATAGAAAGAAAAATAAAAAATACACTTTCGGTTCGTTTCACAATCAGATATTGGTACATGGGCTTTGCCTCACTCTCCGTGCTTGAGGATTGACTTGTGCTATACGAAATGTCGCTTCGGTGGTTTCTTCACCTTGATGTTGACGGATTACGCACACTTCGACTCGTATGAAATCTCCGATTTGATGTGAGGCTTTCTTCATCAGTGAATGACAATGCCATTGTGCACGTAGGATATGGGCACTCGAACGGTCCGAGGTAACAATGAAACACGCCATCAAGAGGTGGGAAACAGAGTGCACACGGATGTTGGATGAAGACAGTGAGAAGAATGAGATTTATTGATTGTGAAATAGAGAAAGACGACCATGTAAGCGCCAGACATGAAGTCCAACCCGACCAATCACCCAAAAGACTAATCAGCAAAACCATTGCACCCACCACTCAAAACCTCCAAGCCCCAAGCGACCCATCCAAGACCGAAACTCTCAGCATAAGAACTACAAACTGCTCCCAGAGCAAAACAAAACGAAAAAAGATGTAGAAATTATGTACAGCATGCCTAGTTTAGCATCGCAAGCACCTTTTTGCAAAGGGAAGCCTGCGAAGTTCCCGCTCTGACCAACGTGGAGGATAGGCAATCCAGAGCTTGTTTTTTAACGAGGTTGTCTCCTCGGCAGGTATGCTGTGAGATCAAGCAATGCGAGCTACTTGCTATGACATTTGCTGTCTGCACAGGACCTGCGAAAGCCACTGTTGTTGACCCCCGTTGCACTTATAGTGTAGTTCGGTCGAGATCAACGTCGAGGCTGGGGAGAGGTGAGGTGGGAGGAAGAATGAGTAGCGAGGTCTAGAAGTGAAAACCCATCTTGTACATACACGCTCGCACTGTTCAACCTCCAGAAGAGAGAGGGGGGTTGGTTTGTGGCTTCATTGCCTTTAATATCCCTCCGGCGCTCAGTGCACTTCGGATGGGTGGTTCGTCACAACGAGGGATCCCGAACAAACGTCCAGCCAAAAACCCACCGTCCGAACCATGTCAGGCCGGATCTTGTGGCTCGAGGTGATGCACCCGTTTTCACCTCACACTCGGCACATTGGCTTTGTGGTATCTGGTGACAGGCCGGTGCTGCCTTGGTTTGTCTGTTTTGATTTTTGTTTTATAATTTTTTTTTCTATTATTCCTAGATGAACTATACGAATGTCAGACATTGTGCCAATGTACTGGTCAGGTGAGGATGAGTGATATACTTACCTTTGTATTCGTTGCTGCTGTCGCTGTCTGTTCGACGCCGTTGTGGCTAGTTTTGTTTCTGACATTCCTACCTAGATTCACTACGTGAATGTCAGCCATTGTGCCAATCCACTGAGGA